TTCCACCCCCGCTCGCTGCTCATTTGCATAAAACCATTCGCACAGCTATTGCATATCACCGGGATATTGAATATCCTTTGCGAAGGACAAACATAAAATGCATAATAAAACATTAATTGATGTCGATGACGCGTCGTTTGGGAAATATTCTCACAATTTCACGCTGGGCAATCATAATATTCCTATAAATTTCGATATTGGGGTGGCCAGTGAAGCTATGAATAAAATGCGCACACAGGAAATGCCCTGAAACCCAGGGCCTACAAAACCAATTTCCGATCAGAGCTCGAGAATCACTCAGCCATATCGAGGGGCTCTTTTGGCCCATAGAGAACTGGCATGCGCAACATGTAGATTGTGGGGAATCAATAAAAATTTGAAATGAAAACTGTTGAATAAATGCTACAGGATTTGCGGGCAATTAATTTGTGTTATTTTCAGAAAAAAATTCAAAAGGGGAGTTGTAAGAGCTGAAGTTCAATGGCCAAAAGGCGTTTATTGACAGGCCCTATTAGTGGGTCAATTGCCCAGCGGAGATCTCAATGCTGGCTCACTCGCGTACCTGGCGCCTCTTCTCGACTTATACCGATTTCTGGTACCTTTTTCTCTGTACCCCGGCAATTAGCGATCGATCGATCATAGAAATCTCGAATCTCGGTGATAAAAGTTAAGTAAGCAAATAATGTGATTTTAGGCGCATGTTCAGCTGCGGATATCTCGCATGGGTCCGCGGATTATATATTATAGTTATCTTACGAAATTTCGATTTCAATTTAAATTTGCAATTCGGTTTCGAATTCAAGTCGTCGGGCTGGTTTGTTTGAACCTTTGTTTGGTTTACGACTGAGATCGACTGAGATGGAGCGATGGAGACCATCCGATGATGGCTTTATCATCGCTCGCCGATCAAATGTGTTTTTATTTTTTCTCACCTTGTCGCTTGAAATTTAGAGAGACTGAAACTGAAATTGAAATTTACAGCGGCGGCATTTGACATCGTCGGTGGGTCAACTATTCGGAGTTGGAGATTTCACGCAGATTTTGTTTCATAATCAAATAATTGATCTTAATGCGGCATCGGAGCCTTAAATGAAATTTATTTCATTCCATTCGCTGTCATCCGCTGAGCTTTTGATCCCATCAAACGCGAAACGAATTGCGCTTCAATGTTGCGGGGGTTTTATTTTTTATTTTAGCACCTCGAAAGAGCATAAAAAGCCTTTTTTTATATTTCTTTGGGCAAACTAGTTTCCGCAATAATTCGCTGAAATCAAGCATGTTTTTGTAGGCCCGGCAATCTATCAAAAATTTAAGGTGATACTTTTGGCTGACTCGGGAAAAATGTTGAAATTAGTCAGCCGAAAGGGTTTGCTTTTGGCAATAAAGGTTCACTCACGTGCCATAAAATAAAATTAGGGTAAAAAAGAGGGAATTAAGGTTCGAATTGGGTTAAATCAATGGTGAGGATTCTATTGAAAAAAGCTTTTAAGAAATATATCAAAGCAGAGATTGATGGATAGTTGGTTTTATTGTTTGAGACAAGGCTTCATATGACTTAATTCCAATTAATATGAAAAGAATGACATTTTTAAGATGATGATATCTCCAGTTAGGATTAGAAATATACAAAAGTTATTCATTGATTTTAATATAATGTTAAGTGTATTCCCTAAGATTCTATATTCTATGGCAGCTCAATGGCTTGTGAGTGATTGATTCCCGTGGCTTGATTGACCTCCAACTTGGCCAGGCGGCGAATCAATCAAAACTGGCTGCAAATGAATGATATTTTACTTTTTTTGCAACTTTAGCCATTTTTGGCGCATTTTGTGTGCCAGTTTTCGTTTTCATTTGCATGAATTGGCTAAAAAGGCAAAAAAGACTAAAATCTTTTTATTGTGATGAAGGAAACCGAAATTACTGGCGGAATTTGCATAGGAATCGATCCATCGATCGATGGGCGATCTCCCACTGGGCCTTAATGAGATTTTGGCCAACTGTTTTCATGGCTTACTCCAGTTATTATTTAACTGCCATTGTTTGCGGCGGTGTGTAATTGGCAATCGGTGTTTTGTGTTTGGCCCGATCCAATCTTGAACTCATTTCGAAATGGAAAGTCTATACTAGGGACATCATTATCTTATCTTCACCATTATTTGGCCGTTTTCTATCTAATTTGCCACGATTTTTTATGGCTCAGATGAGCAGACGGCGGAGCAATTGTGATCGACTGTAATTCTTGTTAAATTTCAGCACCTATTCGCTGATTCTTTGAAGGCGGCCGCCTTTGTCTGATTTCGATTGCAATTCGCAAATGCAAATATTTTGTATTGACTCAGATTGGCCATAAACTCATACGTTTTTTTTCGTACATTAGAAAATGTATTTTATTGACAAATCACTGGGGCAACTTTGGGCCACTAAAACAATTTGCATAAATCTCAAGACCCGTGCTGACAGTAGTAAGCACCCCTCCCCTGAATTCACAACCAACTTGTGAGTTATCTGATTTTTATCTATATTTAATTATTTACGATTGAAGCACAATGGTTCAGGGCCATTAATCAGAGCTGCAAAACCGCGTGCCTACGTGCTTGATTAGTTCCATTATTCACTGAGTGTATTCGATACTCGGATACTCAGATACTCGTTTATTTGGATACCCATTCCGCTAATTCCCTGTAAACTAATCGTAAACTAATTTCGTTCTGAGCCATAAAATACGAGAGTTTTTCGTCATAATCGCCGTGAGTCGTGGGAATTACCTTGTCATATCTGTTAAAATCAGTGGAAAAAACGGAAGAAGTCCGCCCCCTCGTCCTCAAAAGCCTCATATTATCTAGAGGAAGTAGAGGGGCTTTCGAGGGGTTTTCAAGGGGCAACAGCGCTTTGTACTTTTGCGACTGTCTGTAAATATTTGACAACACATGCCTAATTAGTGCAGCCATTGATGGTGACAGGCGGAACAAGCAACAACACTTGTCGAACACCCAGCTCTTTTACGACCCGTCGACTCTTTGACTCGTCTTTTCCCCGGAATCGCCAATGTCTCGGGTTTCTTCTTTGGGTCTCTGAGTCTCCGAGCAGTTCCTTATCTGCTTTTAGGGGAAGGAAGTGTTCTCGAGAGTGCCAAGTGCCAGCAAGAGGCACTTAACCCGAAGCTTTGTTGAGTAAGGCTAGACTTCCCTTTCGGGGGGAAGGGAAAACGGAACTTATCAATGGGCGTAAGACGGGTAGACTTCAGGGTGTAAAAAGTTAAGATAAAAGGGGTAATGATGGGGAAATTTAGGAAGAAACAATAAGGTTCTTTTAATTAAAAATATGGCTAGCTACTGGGAAACTTCCAGGATTATTTTTAATGATATTTGATATATTAAGAAAATACAAAGAAGAAAGCTTAATATTTTTAATCATTTTTTTTTTTAATTTTATATAAATTTAATATATTTTCCGTGGTTCTAGAAAACCTCCCCTATTAAGGTTAGAATTCTCCTTTCCCTTCGATCAGTTCCACTACACTTAAACTTGTATTGACACCCAGCGGGCTATTAATAAACAGGATAAACACTTCGCCAGAAAATAGTATTACTCATACGCACCCTGACCATTTTGTGCTTATGTTTTCATAGTATTCAATGCTATAGCTATAAAAACTATATATATTCCCGTATAGGAACCATGATGAAATCCCCCAGTCAGTCAGCTGGTTTGAGTCTCCAGAGGGGACACTTGACACATTGGCAAAGTGTTGTGGACAAATATTTACCCAGAGCTTCGCAAGTAAGCGCGAGTCAAACAATTGAGGCAAATAAAGCAAGGAAAACAGAAAAACAGGCTGCAAACATGGATGTATCGAAAGGAGGAGTGAGGATCATCGCTTGGGATCGAATCGCCACAGTTTCCCTACAAAAATCAGAGGAACAGAACGCGTGAAAAGTGTGGACAAGTTCAAAAGAGTTGACCGACCGTTTATTTGAAAACGGCTTAAAGAGCCAAGGGTTCCTGTAGGTGATAACGAGATTTACAAATCGATTGTCGCTTTTGACAAACAAAAAATAAGGAAAAAAGGAGAAAAAAGCGGAGGAACCCAAGGAACACCTGAGGAAATTCAAGGTGCTAATCTCTGGGGAAACACAAACTCGAAAACACACAAATTCCGCAGCTCAACTCCTCATCTCAATCGATAATCGAGCTAATTTGTTTTCGGTTTTATTGTAATTTTGAGATTGCCGCGTGCGTTTTATTTATACTCGCATTCGAAAAATCGACAAAAATCTGGTCTGTTCAAGATTTGCATTTTGATAAGCGGAAGTTGTTGGGTTTAAGGTGTTTTTCATGTGATTTGTAAGCCCTCGTATTTGTTTTGTGGTTTCTGTCTTTCTTATTGTTTGTCAAATTTGGCTAAAATTAATTTGCAATAAAAGCGGCTTAATTACCGCATTTTGTTATAATTATGGCCCGTAATGGTTAACGATGATTTCGTTGGAGTTTTTTGTTTGACAAGTGAACAAGATTTAATTAGCTAGCATTTGAGATTTTCATAGGAATTAGGGATCCTTTTTGGGTAATTAATATTGTTAACCCCTATTATTTTTATAGGATTTTATTGATTGTCATTCAACTTCATTGAATCGATTTTTTTTAGGTCAAAATATTATATTGAATTTAAAATACAAATTAAATATTATAGATCCAACAAACATTTTTTTAACATTTATAATATCTTGTCTGTTATACATCCATTATTTGTTTCTTGATTATATTATTTTCCTGAAAATATTTAAGGTTCGTTAGAATTATATTTTTATGGGCCTTATGCTTAGAACCCTATTATAAGAACCTATCATTTTATCTGAATTATTTTGTTAAGATCTCTTTGAATTAATTTCGAATTTTACAAACTGTCATTTCTGGATTTTTATTTCCAGCTAAAGTAAGTTTATAAAACTCTCTATTATTTTCTAGTATTATATTATTATTTTGCTAGAACCGCAACTCACCTGCATCACCCAGTAGTTATTATTGGCGGCAAATTGATCACCAATTATGATATCCGTATGCATTTAAGCGGCGTTTTTCGCATGAAGCTTCACTCGAGTGGTGGGGCCAGGGGTAATGCCTGGCGGGGGAGGGGGATTCCACCGATATTCTACCAATATTTAACCCGACAATTTGCAACTGGGCTCCGTACTTTTATTTGCGGACAATTAAATGGCGCTGCTCTGACTCACGAGTCACGATCAGTTCAAGGCACAGTGATTAATCAATTTTCAGATCCGAATTCGGATTTTGGGTTTCAGATTTCGGGATTTAATATTATTGAATACTTCTGCTTGACATGGCACTGCGAACAACAGACATTGCGGCACGTTTTCTTACTATTCAATTGATTTTTTGTTATTAAAATTTTAAATTAATTCGATTTGCAAGGATATGCAAATGAAGGCACTCGATCACTTTCTCTCACTCTTTTGTTTCCCTTTGTTTGCTTTTTGCTTTTTAGCACACTTGTGTATATTTTTTATCCTTTGCGTTAATTGCAATAATTTAATAAAAAAGCCGCCGGCTTTTTGGCTCACTTCCGCATTCGTTGAGCTTTTGTATCTGTATCTTTTGTGTTCCTGCTGCGATATGGTGTATATATTTAGGGGCAGTAAATTCGTTGCAATATTCTATAGATTAAATGGTAAGGCACTTGTGGGTTTTGATTTTTAAAATATTTTTCTTGATTTGCTTAAAAGGAAACTGAAGGTATTTCACGCGCTCGTCGGCGAAGTTGTTACTGCGCTGGCGGGAACCGAGTTCGTACTGATTGGACGAGCGCGGGTTTTGCGCAGACGAGCCTCGAAAGTCAGAAAGGCAGAAAGCCAGTCAGCTAGCTGCCGCTTAACCCCCGCCGCTTAACCCTCCACCGCCGCCGCTCTCACTCACCTTTCGTATCTTTCGGATACTCTGCTGCTCACCAGGTGTTCCGCTCACCTGGATCTCGCTCTCTGGGTTTTCAACTCTCTGTAAAATAGCCCAGGTGATCTCAAGATCTCTTATACCCCACTCTCAGGTGGGTTCCGTTTCGGCCAGCTGATCTTATTGGAGGTATAAGAGCCGCTCGGTCGATTTTAATTGAATGCGCCGTCTGGGATTCGCCATTTTAGATTTGACCTGCAATAGAGGTGGTTATGGGTGATACAAATAAAAACATATTTATAAGAATTTAAAAGATGGAACTAAAACAATATACCATTATTAAAAATAAGAAGAAAATTAAAAATATTAACAAGAAACGTTTTAATTTATTAATTTTCAAGCATTGTTAGAAATGGAAAATATTATTAAAAAAACATTAAAGGACATATTATTTATTTATGATACAAAAACGTATTACCTATATTACAAGAAAGTGAATCAAATAGAGGATATTGTTATTGAAGAACTTAAGTTGTGACTTGAAAAATCTATACAATCAAATCTATTAAAATCCACTTTTTTAAAGAAGAAAATTTAATTTACGTTTAAAAAATAAAAGATTATATTTTTTTGTTAAATATGTATTTTTTTAATGGATTTTTTTAAGGAACCAATACTAATTTAGCTACTATTTCGTTACTATTAAATAAGTAACGATTACCTTCTATTGCTTTTCTATACATTTTAAGGACCCAATGTTAAGTGCACACTAGCTTAACATCTAAAGAACAGATAAACTTTTAACAACCCAAAGTATAAAATAGCTAGCTTTTAGAAGGGTAATAAATCAGGGGACATACCAAGCATAATCCTTCGAAAATCCTCCCCTTAACCGCTAAAACCGCTTTACTACACCGTTCATTAGGTTTGACACATTTTAGATAGTTTCTGGACAAAATAAAAACTGCCCAAATAGCACGCGAATCTCCCAAAGACCCCATGCAGTTCTTTCGATGGTCGAAAAGTATAATTAAATAGAATTAAAGCATAAATTAAGTCAGCTTATGTGCTTTCTTTTGAGGGAAATCAATAAAGCGACAATTAAAAGGCATATCTGTATCTACATATTCCAGGTGGAAAACGTGAAAAAAGGTGGAAAGAAGGAGCCAAACTGTCAGTTTTGCCCTGTAATTCCCTGAATCATAAAATTACCCCAACGCACGCCACACATAAAAGCCATTTTCATTTCGACTCATCCCCCTCTGGATTTTATTCTCCTTTCGGGCCATTAGGGAGCCACAAGTTTATGTTTTCTGTGAGAGGGGGGTTAAGTGGTGGTTAGAGGGGGGTTAAAGGGGGGCCAAATGACACGCAAACGTGGTTTTCAGACGGGGGGTTTTCTGTTTAGAGGTGTGGCCTCTCCGCAAAGCGGCGCAGACTCAAAAGCCAGCCAATCGGCGCTCGACAAAAAGAGCGAGAGATACAAGATACAAGATACAGCGAGTGAGCGAGACGGGGCATTCGGTTAGAGCGAGAAAGAGAGACACTTTTGCGTACACGGTGGCAGTAAGTAGAAATAAAAACAACAACACCACACACGCAGGTGGAAAAACAAAAACATCCAGAGATACAAAAGTATCTACACTGCTCGCACAGATACATTCGTCCATATTTCGCCGCTATTGATAATTGACTATTCCCCCTGCTTTTCGCTATTGACTTCGTGCAAATTTGCCATTAATGCCACCGCAGACGTCTCGAGATACAAGTTGAGATACCCAGATACTCAGATACTCGCTTACTTGCAGATACATTCGAATTTGTTTGTCTTCGCGCTTTTGTTTGCTCTCGAGCTGCCTGTCTTACGTTTGGCATCCGTGAGATATGCCAAAGACACATTTCCAAGTCCGCACTTGAATCCGTTTGTCCGTTCGTTGACAAATGTCAGCCAATTTATAACGCTTTTGGCCTAGAAGATACATATGCACGTTCTGGGAGATATAAATATCGTTATTATGGTTAAGGGGTTTTACAATAGTAATGGTGTGCTGAACTTATTTATTTTAAAAATATACAAATGGGGTAAAATTGCTCGTTCTAATGAAAATTAATGATCATCTGGTAATATTTACGATAAGTGATTACAAAAGGAAAACTAAAGCCATAGAGTCAATCAATATTTGTATCTATTTTTTACATTCTCTATTTTAATGATTATATCTTGACTAAATTCTCTTTATACCCTCATGATTTATTTATTATATTATTTTTTCAATTATACTCATACTTAAATATATTTCCCTTTAGGATTATCCATCACTCAATGCAACTTTATATTTACTTTGTGTTATTTTTGACCCTTCTTACTCACTTTTCATCCCAAAAAATCCCCCTCTAAAAACCTGTAATGTATCAAATTTGGCGCTTTTATGTCGAGATCCGAACAGTTCACCATAAATATTCAAATTGGAGGCGAACATCCTTGCAGGGTAATTGATTTTCCAGCCAGCGATATCTCAGTGGATTTATTGATGCCACTGTGGCAACTCTTACCTCACACAAAGATCGATGTCGAAGGGTAGTACCTTCGGGAACTACCTGTTATAACTCTGGTTCGGAGATCGGGGAACGAGGACCCCTCGAAAAATTCACTGCACTCGACCGAGCAGAACTTATCGGCCAGCTCGACATGATTAATTACCCAGCGAAGACCCTCGAGATCAGTTCGTTTGAATTGTGGCCAAAATATTGTCACGCTTCGGAATCGGAATAAAATGAGAAACACAACCGAGAGTCTCCAAGGAAATGGCTCTCCGCTTGATTGATTCCACTTGGCGGCACTTGCCGATAAAGACGAAGGACAAGTTTCCAAATGATTCCGATTTATTTTTGGGTCCCCTGAATTGTCGCTGGATTTTTTCTGGATTTCCAGCGGGTGAGAAAGCAACCCAGAGATTACGCGGCAATTTGTTTTGTCTGCGCATTTTCTGGGAAATATTTTCATAATTTCTTCGGCTTAACCTTATCTCTCCAGATTTATTTGTTTGCATAATGCGAGGGTAATTGAAATCTCATTCAAGGGAATAGAAATCGAAATTGGGGCAGGGCCACCTCGAATTCAAAAATTCCATCTAACTTGATGGTTAGATGGAAGATTATAATGTGGTATAGTAATATAATAGTGGCACCAAAATGTGCATTCTATGCAAATCCACAAGATGCAACTGCGAAATTTATGCGAATGCTAATCAAGTTAACACCAAAAGTTGTTGCTGTCGTCTGACAATTTTTAAGTGCGTATCTGTGTCGCTGCTGCGGCGGCAACAATTATTAATGATTTCGCTAAATGTTACAGAAAATAATGACAGCCCAGTGCTGTGCAGCTCCACAAATTACAAATGCACACAAAATGCCTTTTGGATTTCTGTATTTTGGTTTTTTTCGTTTTCGGTTTCAGCGCTTTTGCCTTTCAACACCTCGCAGCCCACATTTCATTGCGAGTTGAATGAATGATTCGACATGTTCCAAGTGGGCGGCCTCCGCCTGAGGGCGTGTCATTTTCAGCTTTCGGGGGCGGAGGGGGCGTGGCAATGGGGGAGGAGGCTGACTATGAACAGCAGGCGGCTGATTCTTCCCCAGGCTTCATGGGCACTTTTTTGACATTTAGCGCGTGCCCAAACGCAGAAAGAAAGAAAGAAAAGAGTCATGATCTAAGCGTCTAACGATCTTAGGTACAGCGAGAAAAGTATAATTGTATTCGAATTTAATTTAGAAAATATTTTAAGTTAAAACAAAAAATATTTAAATATTTAAAAAAATATTTATAGTATTTTAATAAGGAATCAGAAAATAGGTGTTCCTTATTTTTTCGTACCCATAGATTTAATAAGGCTCATCTTTTATTGGTAGTAAATATATTAGCACTATTATCTGTCACATTTGATGGTCTATTAATATTATGACTATCGATTGATTGAATTTGGAAAATTAATAACATTTTTATAACTCAAATAAATTTTTCTACAATGAAATTTATAATACATACAAAAATACATATTTTATAAATAAATAAAAGTTATACAAAATAATTAGTTTTAAAACCCTCTAAGCCACATTTCATTTTATAGATTGAAGATGAATGTTATTTAGTGCTTACAATTTAATCTTCTTTTTTCTGAGTGATAGGCCTCCATAATATTCCATAATATTCCCGTTTCCCTGTCCCACTTCAGGTGTTGGAAAGATGAGCCCCCAGATGAGCGGTACTCCTCCGATCCGACATCATTTCTATGATCGCGTTAATCACCTTTCAAGCCCACTCGAGGCGAAATAAAAACGATATGGCACTCGAGATCTGGGATCTCGATGGTATGGGGGCAACTTACAAACGATATCATTGCTTACTCAGCAGGTTTCGGGGTTCCAACTATGGATTTTCGGAGGGGGGTTTCCAACTGCTAATGATGCGACTGCACAATTGAAATGAAATTAATTTTACGCGGCAATTAATTAAATCTTCGCTGTGGGCAGACTGCAGAGAAAGCCAAGGCCTCCCACACCAAAGTCATCATCATCTTTTCCCTAGTAAATGCGGCCAATAATAATTATTAATTGGGCTAACAAGTCTCTCTCTCTATCCGTTTTTGGGGTTGTGAAACCGAAATCTTTTTGCCTTGGCCAAAAGAAACCATAAACAACTGATACACCATAAATGCGACGACGCACAAAACAATTGCTCCGAAATAATATAAATTCGTGTGAAATTAAATCATAAACGTAACAATAATCTGGCCGAACCCACAAAACCCACCAGTACAACACGTCAGACATCGCAGACATCGCGCAGACTTCAGACACTATTCGATTCGATATTCGGCATTCGACACTGACACCAAAAAGCAAACAAAAAAGCACAAACAAACGAAAGCCAACGAGCAACCGAAAATTTCCATAAGATTTTCTATCGATTTTACGGCGAATCGGAAAATTTTCCCAATGCCGAGAACTTTTCTCCGAATGCGACATGCAAATTATGAAATTTGTTTGGTGGGCCCAAATTCTTTTTAAATTTCCATATAAGGGGCTGCGTTTTATATATTTGTTTATCATTTTTCTGTACTGTGAGGTGGCTATAAAATGCCTTATCTTCACGTTTTCGTTTATGATTGTTCCTCATCAAACGATTTTCTGTTGATTTTTATGGCCAATTGGAAAAGTTTACCAGCTCTATGGAGCAAAAGCCGAAAGGTTCTCATTTGGTTAGCGCCAATTCGCTCTAAATGGTTTATGGTTTGATTTTGATGGGGGGTAACAAATTTTGATAAGAGCTGTTTTCTGAGGAACAGCAGATAAATCTTGAATGTCATCTTACAATGATTGAAATCATTTTTAAGCTAACATAACAACTTTTTAAAAGTGAATTTTAATTTTCAATATTATTCTAATTTATATAAATAAAATTATACATAAATAACATGATATAAATGTATAGACATAAACAAAAAAAACAAGATACCTTTTTAAAAGTCAATTTTTATTTAAAATATTTTTCTCACTTTATAAACTAAATATTTCACATTTTATTTTCTGTTTTTTTATCATAAAGGCCTTGATTTTAGTGCCATCATATTTCCATTTCATACACACTTTCGTTTTATTTCTGGTCTCCATTTAACAAAATTCCAAAATGGGTCCAAATTCACGGCGCTGTCTTATATTGCTCTTCATTGCGGTATCTTTCTTGGCTTGCAACCTGGTCGATAGTTATATAAAGCAAAAGGAGCGTAAGTTTCTTTAGCTACCAAAGAAATAAAAAATATATTCTATTATTATTCCCTTTTTTCCATCAGCCATTCTTACATTATACCGCCATGAAATCCAGGAGATTCAAGACGATTTGGTTCATCTGGCAGATAGTGTAAGTTTCTAAGGTTCCTAAGAGGTCTTAATCCATTATTAATCCCCCCATTATTATTATTAAAAGTGCACCATAGAGAAACTGATGGTGGACGACTCACAGGAGTATCTGCGGATCAGTTGCCATGTGGATGATCTGCCGGAGGGCTACGTTAGAAGGTTAAAACCCGTCGATTATGGAAGGAGTTTTTTCCTCAATCAACGCATTCCGAAACCCTTGAAGCGCCAGTGGAATTTCCGAGTGCCCACAGATGCCGTGAATGGACTAAGTCTGCTGACTTGATTGATTCGACGACTGCCCACTAGACTGATAAAGAAAAAAATGTCAAAAGCCAGCTTATCACTTTGATTTTCTTTTTCTGTGGGGAAAAGAGGCGGTTGACATCGCTTGACCACCGGGGGATTTCAATTAATTCAAGGGGTCAGCATAGAAGGAGCCGCTACCGAATGATCGGCAATGATCCCCGGGCCTTTGTCTTTGTCTTTAATGAGCTTATCCATCATCGCGGTCACAGCTCCCAGTCGAGGCGACTTCAACTCATCTGTCACAGGGCTAATAGGTTTCATTAGTCATCTCCAATCGTCCGGTTTATCAGCTGCCTTTCTGGTCATTTCTCAGCGACTCAAAAATGTATTTTCTGTTTTGGTTTTGGCTCTTTACCTTCGGCCACCTTTTTCGTTCGGGGCTTTGCGTGTCGACAGCAATTTTCACCTTAATTATTTTTGGTCGGGTGGATGAGGTGGACGAGGTTGTGTCCAGCACGCGCTAATGTTTAATATCCGCCAGGATAATGGAAGGGGAGGTTCTGGTTCGGGGGAGGAAAAGGGAACAGAACAGAAAACCCCGAAGAAGACACCCAGACCAGACAGTTATGCAAATTTTCCAGTTTATTTGTATATTAAAAGGAGAATAAAACCTCCACGCCACTTTTGATGAACCAAGGGAATACCTTGTGACGCGCGGAGAATTTTGTGGAAAATTTTAATAAGTTTTCTACTTACGCAAATGTAATAAGCAAATGATACCAAGCCAAGGTGTCAAGACAATAAATATGAACCATAAATATTTAAAAAATATTCAAATTTTTATTGCAGTTCAATAAATTGGCGCCAATTGAAGAACATTGAATTTGTTATATGGCGAAAAAAATAAACTATAAATCGGTATTTGAATATTAATAAAGGCAAGTGCGTAAATTCTATAAATTATTTATGCGAAGAATAAAATGGAAAATGTACTCTGAGAACCTTGAAAATTTATTGTAAACTTATAATCAAGGTAAATAATATTTGAAGAATTAAATACATTGTTTGAAGGTGAAAGTATATTAAAATTTATTTAAATTCTATATGAAATTATATAAATTCGAAATAAAATTATACAAATTTCAAATTCTACAACCGATAAAATTAAAAATTTATTGTAAACTTAAAATTATGGTAAATACTCATTGAAAAATCAAGAACAAATGTTTGGAGATTAATAGAATGTTAAATTATAAATTTATTACATTTCGAATATTTTTTCGGATATTTTAAATGTTTCTTGGTGTTATTGAGGGGAACTACTATCCAAATACTCCCCAAAAGTCAAAGAGCACTGCAAAACGGAAGCGAAGCGTGTGCTCGTAAATTATTGTGGCCACACACAGATACAAAACGCACACACACTTTCAAAGGGACACCCACAGGATGTCAGCTAGATGTTCCTCTGTGTGTGCTTGTGTTTGCCCATTTGGGCCATCGTCCTTTCGTGTCCTGGCTGTCTAACATTGTCCGTTCATTGTCTTGCCATGGCCTGTTTTTTGAGAGGTGAAAAATGGTATAAAAAAGTGAGGAAAATGGGAAAATAAGAGCCAGGGGTTTTCCTTTCTGTTTGCCATTCAATATTGGCGCCATTGTGACCCCCTCTCCGCGACTCCTTCCCCTCCCCGCTCCTGACTACCATAAAATGTTCAATTAGTTAATGAAAAATTTTCCAATTGGAAAACAACATTCGAGTTCAACTAACGACGTTTTAGGAGGGGGTTATGGGAGGGGATTTCGGGGGCTAAGGACTCCTTTGCCTTTGTGTGGAATATGCCTTCAGGTCGGAAATTTATGCATGTGATTTATGCACAACAACGATTGCCAATTACAATATCATTTCTCTTCTTGTCTCCTCGGCTTTGTGTTTGCATTTGTTCATTTTGTCCGCCTTTGGGTTCCTTTTTATTTTATTTTTCTCTACCTTTTTTACCTGTGCCTTGCGGTGAGTGTGCGTGTGCGGGGTGCCATTAAGAAATGTGTCAAAACATGTGAGGAATTATATAAGTTAACATACGACAGCGGGGTTAACCAGCGAGAGCAAAAGGCAAGGAGGCAAAAGGACAGGGAACTGGCCTGGGAATTAATTGATTTTTATTTATTCTTAAGAGCTTGAAATAGAAATAAACAGGACCAAATATGAAACACAATAAAAATGTATATTTTTTTAAACCATCAAAAGCTAATTATTTTAATTTTTATTATTTTATTTACCAGCTCAACAAAATAAATATTATAAGTATTAAATAAATACCAAAGCTAAAAGAACAACTGTTTTATTCAGCTAATAACCTAAGCTAACTATTTATATCATTTACGGCTAAATTAAAAAAAAAAATGTTTGCCAAAAAAACGGTCAGAAATTAAAGTGTTTAAATTTGAATGCCAATCGACTATGAATTTAATAACTAGTTCAACAAGGTATGACAATCCATATCTTGACAATTTTTGATCATTTTTCGGACAAAATATATAGAAAAGTGCTACATTTATAAATTGTATATTCCTGGCTCTTCATATCTATTACCCACCGGTATTTCCCATATCAAGGAAGTTAGCCATTAAACTAAAGGGAATCTCCCTTCCCCCTTCTAAAACAAAACGCATGCTCGCATTGAAATTGAATTAGAGCAGAACATTGGTCATTGGCACGTACCCTCTCAAGAGCCTCTTATCCCCGTTTAACCCCCTTTGGCCCCTCATTCGCCCCTTAACCCTGGGCAGCCCCCACCCCGTGAGGCAGCCAACCATTCAGCCATCGGCAGAATCAAAAGTCAACAACTCTCGCTTTGTTTTACTTTCCCAGCAAACAGAAATTAAAGCCAGAAAGCCAGAGAGTCGGAGGAAAAAGCAAAACGAGTGGCGGACAGGAAAAGCCGACGCATGACACAAATTTCAGGGAAGGAAGGTGGTGGCAGAACAAAAAGTGGAAATGGGGAAAACGCGTCAAGGGAAATGATGAGGGAAATATTGAGAACGCATATGAGAAGAGCAAAAACCGAAAAAACTAAAATAAAATAGTCGAGACTTTGGCGCGCGGCATTCGGTAAACAAAGGGAAAAACATTCAGCAAACAGAAACGGAAAACAGAAACTCGCTGGTTGACCGAGCATCAATAGAGCGGCTAACTTGCTGGATTTTTCACTCTGTGGAAAAACTGGGAAAGACAAAGGAAAAGCTTCGGCTCGAAGTGCGGGAGTTTCCTGTGTGCAGGGCGGCTAATGAAGCCTGAAATCGATTTGTTGTGGAATACTTCAGTGATCTGCGATCGATTTAAACGAAGGGTGATCGTGATAGCCACCGAACCACTTGATCCACCTGATTCAGCTGAACCACCTGCTACAACTGTGTGCCACCCACCTCTTTTTTCCTGGGGATATTCAGTGGATCTCCGATCGACAGGCAGCTGTTGCCATCTCGAAATCCCCAAATTTACAGCATTCCTCCTCCTTTTAGTGGCATTTTCCTGTTCACTCCGAATTTACGATCGCTGCCTTTGTTTACTTCTCCTCATTGGTGCTCTTTTTTATTGGCCTCTCCTTCTATATACTTGCCTCAAGTTTACCTCACGCATTCCGAGCACTGAGAGAAATAACTAACGAACTAGGGCAAAAAGTGTTTTTTTTCAAAGAAATAAGTAGGAGCTTTCTCTGTTAAAATTAAATTAAATACATTTTTAAGTACCTTCTTAAAACTAAATAAATCTGTATCACAATAAATTTTCGTACAGCAAAAACATATTTTTTAATTTTTTGAAAATAAATCCAATTTTAAAGTTAGTTTTTTAATACGACAAAAATATGTATTTTTCTATTAATAATTTTGAAAATAAGAATATTGTTACCTTTTCTTACTAGTAAAATAAAATCTTTATAATATTTTAAGTAATAAATAAAATGTACATTTTACAAATACGGTGCACATTTTTCTCGTTTAAACTATTTTATTTAACATAAAATTGACTCAGAACTCCCAGAAGATTTATGTAATTTTTTTCTAAGTCAAACAACATATTTTCCCTTCAGTGTATTTACCCGATGGCGATGCAAAGGAAACAAAAGCGGGGCACAAGCACCACCAATCCACCGAACCACCGAGACCGAGGTGTCAAGTGTTTTGCGTTATCTTCTGCGGTTGCTGTTGCTGCCTCTTGTTTGTAGGCCAACTCCGACTCTTCTCCAACTCTTCTGGCCAGTTAGTAGGACCGAAGAGGCCAAGAGACCGCCGACGTGTCTGCTTCTCGAATTGCGTCAAAAATTATCGCCATTAAATGTAGATGAGCGTTTAGTTGTAAAGTTATTGGCCCATAAATAACCCCCGGGTCTGTAGTCTGTAGTTATCCGCATCCAGGGATCTTCGAGAATCTCGAGGGGGGACTGTTTGTTCTCTTCATTCATAAAATGAATGTGATTTATGAACCGATGCGCTTGCGGAACTTTTGATTGCAGGTTCTAATAAGGATGATGGTTGCGGCTAATTGAAATTAATTTGCTGATTGAGCAGGAATTTAAAGAAATAAAAAATGGGTGGCTTATGGGAGGGGAAAAGTAATTTAACCGAAATTTTACTAGCCGAAATTTATGTGTCGTCGAGGATTAAGATAATTTTATAGTTAAAAGTTGAAGTTAAAAGCACTTAGACAACTATTTATTTAATGAACATATTGTAATGTTTTAAATTGGCGAAACAAAGAAAGGAAGCTAACTTAAGTTTATACACTTTGCAGGTCTATCCTTTTTAATTTGAAATCGAAACAAAAATATATCATAAAGTTTTTATATCATTTTTATGGCAGCTATGCCATTATGAATTTAACCTCCAATAATTTATATCCCTTAAAATACTTTGAATTTTGGCGCCAATTCTCAATATCGATTTATCCTTTTATATTGCCATACTACGTAAAAAAGAACCACAATTTCACATATAGATGGATAACTGGCGCCATCTATTGCAAAAAAGCAAACCGTGAGTTCCTGCCCTGGCCGTAGGGTGGCGCTCCATTAGTTGCCAAATAATAATACAGGGTGGCGCTAAAAAATATTTAAAGAAACTTTAGTTTAGTTAAACTACTAAAAAAAGGAATAATAAATTATAAAAATAATCAATAAATATCGAAACCATCGATTGAAATTTACCTGCGATCAACATGCTCGCCCATAAAAATTTCTGTGTTATTGGCTTGAGAATTTTCTGCTTGACAGTCCTCAACATGTCGACTTTTAATGGCCTTTAAACTGCAGGAAATGGCTGGAAAATTCTTGGGCATTCCTATGGACTCTGCATAAAACATAACGGCTCTGTTGTGACTGCAACTATCTAATAGCAATTTATAAGAAATCATAAAAATAATAAATAAATAAAGAACAGCTTACAAGCCTCATGAAGTAGCTTACTGGCGGCAACAACGTCCACATTTTCGCATCCTGGTTGCGGAGCCAGTCCAAAATTCGGATAAAAATCCACAGTTCCTCGAGGTCTAATATCCCCAAACAAAGGGTAATCCGTGTGAATTACGTCCACAAATTGAGCGGCATTCGAGTGCAAACTGTCTTCCGATCTACTTGAGAAAAGGGGAAGAGCAGGATCCAATCCCGTGACTCTGCCCAAAGTTCCATTAAAGTACCGACCAATTCGTCCTGCGATATGAGCTCCCAAACTGTGACCGATGACGTGAACTCCTTCCAAGGATATGCCATGTTTCTGGAGAAAGTCCTCCAGTAATTTAGCCAGAATGCGAGCCACTTTCTTCACCGCCAAACGAGAGGTTGGATAATCCAAATTGGCTACTGGTCCCCAGTCTGCTACCAGGACATTCTCATATCCTTGGGCAGTGTAAGCTTCGGAATTTTTGATATATTTAAAAAGTAAGTAAAACGATAAAAAACAAACTAAAATAGGAAAAAAAAAATTCTCGTTATTCAAAAATTGATTATTTTCGAGATCAAAGTATTTTTAACTATAGGCACTTTTTCATTTCTCAAAATGGGTAAAGAAAATTTTTATTAGGATTGTTTTGCAAAAATGTCAAATTGATTTCCATTATTTTGCACTCCATATTCTTACCATTTCTCAGAGGCATAATAGACCCATGGGTGCGGGATCCCAGATATCCATGCACAATTAACTTTACAGACTCCACTGAGACCAAAGAATCCACATTTTCCAAAGGAACATCCGCCGAAGCTTTCAGATAGTAAATATTGCTCTGATTCAGCAAAGAGTCCAGCAGAGCGGCTTGTAATCCAAGAAACTGGCAGATGATAGGCACCAGACAGAAGCTGCTCTTGGCCATGTCAAAAGTAGCGACTTTACCCTATCTGGATAGTAACTGAAAAATATTTGAATAACAACTGGAGTTTCCATCCCAAAAACACCACCTATTTATACACCCAAAAAAAAGCATGCGTTCCGCTAATCGAGCGATTAGTGGAAATCTCCCATAGAGATGACGTATTTTCAGTACTTTGTAACATTACTGTATTTATCTAGATATTAAGTAATTTTCCATAAATATTACACACACACGCACGGAGAGAGATTCAAAGCTAAAGCTAGGGTTAAAATGCAAGCAATCGCGATTGTGGGTTATCCCTGATTTCGGAGATGGCAGTTGGTTAGGGATAGATTTTCTTATAAATATACCCTAACGCCTGTTGTCATCTAGGAAGTCGGGAACGGGTCGAATCATCCAGCGGACGCTTTTCAGGGAGTTCTGTCCGGCGAAGGTATCCCACCACATTCCAGTTTCCAGAGCTTGTCCCTGGTTCCTTGCGATATAATGACCGAAAAGATTGCTTGTAGCGCAGTTGTTAAACCAACCGGCTCCCTTGTGTTTCGCCGCGCAGTTGCAATCGAGGCAATTATCATTATCCTGATCCAGAGTGCTGAACTTGGCCCCCGCATGATAGGATAGCGAATCCCCCGCCGAAGGGGTCAAGTCCTCTTGGAATTTGCCCAAAACACTCAGAGGATAGATCTCCCTTTCGCTGCCAATGGCAAAGACCGAATATCCCGCATACGCCACGTTGCCCGAAAAGTCCTCCATCACAATGCGCAGTTCATGTAAAGCAGATGCAGTCAGGGCATGCAGTTTGTTGAGGCCAATGAAGAAATTCCCGGCCAGGTTGCCAAAGCCATCGCGATAATCCAGCCAGCCGCGTTCGAAGTTCACATCATCGGAACTGCGGCTCAGGATAACCGTCCAATCGTCATCGCAGGTCACATAGAAGGACTCCGATTCGGGGGTGAGCTGGAGCTTAAGGATTCCCTGGCTGGACAGGAAGTGATACTTGCAGCTGTTGGGCAAATCCTGGCTGTTCGGAGGGCCATCCATTCCAGCCGGTCCGTAGAAGATCGACGGCGGAGCTCCAGGTGATTTGTGTCCCAGTTTTCCTTGGATCAAACGGTTTTGGCGCCTGAAAGATAAATATTAAATTTAGTATTTATAAACTTTATAATAGGTTTTCTATAAGTCCTAAATCCACGTATTCTAGCATTTTTCTAGTATTTTTAGAATTTCTTTCATAACAAATCCAAAAATTGTTCAAATATGGATTGTCATACCTTGTTGAACTCGTAATACAATTCCCAATCGATTGGCATTCAAATTTGAACACTTTAATTTTTGACCATTTTTTCGAAAAAATCGTGAAGTTACCCCTTATAAAATTTTCAAAAATTGGTGAAATTTTTTTGTTTCCTATTTTACTTGGAAAAGTGATAGATCGTTAACTTAGGTTATTAGATGGACAAAACACTTGTTCTTTTATATGAGGGACCCAATTTAACAAAATTATGAGGAAAAAACTAAGAAAGAAATTCAAAAAAACGTTTAAAAACGCAGGTAATTTGATATCTTGTTTTTAGCTTCTATTATTGTTTAGGTTTATTTCATAATCGATTTAACTTACTTAATAACCTTTGAAAGACTGTTAACTTCAATCTGCGTGGATCTGACCTGAAGGGCAGTGGAGGTCAAAAGAGTGGCCAAGGCATCCAGTCGATCCGAAACACTTAAATAGGATTCATTAGATGCACGAGTCGGTTCCGATTCAGGATCCTGAACGGCACGAGGAGTCCGTGATAAGTCTGTCCACAAAACATAATATATATTAAGCATTATTAAAAATCTAGTTTATAAGAAAATTAAACAACCAGAGAGTCACAAACACAACATCAACTTTTAGATTATGATAATATGTTACCCTTCATCTTCTTGCGATTGTTTAGCTTGTGTTTTAGCTCCCTAATATGACGTGAACCGAAAACTAAGTCGGTTTCACCTTTAAGCTCATCCAAAGTGTTTCTCGAAAGCCGCTGGATATGTTCGAAGCTGTCCAATCGCTGTTTAAAGTCCAGTTGCTGGGCCTTCATAGATTCCATTCGCGCTGAACTGCTGTCCACCAGCTCATCCAATCTGGAATAAATATATATTAAATACGTAATAAATATATAGTAATCACAGCTCTTTGTTTTCTATGAGAATGCCCCAATTAAACGATTTATCTTAGCTACAGAAGCCAGATAAAATTGTACGAGAGTTTTCTTTATATTTTTTATGGATCCGCTCGTTAATCAACTTGAGTTTGCCATTTGCAAATTTTGTATACCCAAAACGATTGAACAAAAATTAGCGATTAAAGGCAACAAAGATAGAAACATATTAACTAAACATTCGAAACGTTGAGAACCAATCCATAAACACTCGGCGGATGCGTGCGAAAATCAGCAGGAAATTTCTGCGAACCTATAACAATAAATTTGACCCAAAAAAAATAGCAGATGTTCCTCACATCGATTACTTCATTCAAAGAAATATAATTGAGAGACTGGTTGATTGAGCATCATTACACACCGAATTCTTTTGCCAAATAAATGGCAGTGTCACAGAAAAGTTTCCGAAAAATACATAGCCACACGTTGTTTTGTTTTACCGGTTTTTTTTCGAAAGTATTTCATATGATCTATGATGATATTGCAAACCAGTTTTCAGTTCTCACTTCTTATCGATGATTTCCAGGCGATGGCGCTGGTCCTCGTCCAAGGTCACCAAGATGCCAACGCGATCGTGCAGATTGGTCATCATTTCCCTGTAGTCGCACTTGGGAGGACTCGTAGGGATCGTGTAGCTCTTGGGATTCGAAAAACAAAAACAGGGAGACGGTACATTAAAACACGAGGCCAGCGCATTGAACTTGTTCTCGGCTGGCCAAAAACGAAACCTGCTGGCCAAAAGTCAGCGGGGCGAGTCACCAAGCTTGAAATTCACATTACAGTAGACGATCGAAAGAGCAAACATCCCATTATGCTAAGTAGGTTTTTGCATTTCTGAACAAAGGGTTAATTTATTTTATTTTTCTTGGTTGTTATTTTCTGGCCACTTTTGATGTTTCGCTTGGCCACTTAAAAAAACACTTGTGCAAAGCTTTTATATGCATTCTATTTTCTTGTTATTTTGTCGTCTTTAACTTGGGTTATTTATATCTTTTATATCTTTCATCATCTTCAGCATTGAATATTGCTTAATATTGGTTCATTTATTTCTTGTATCTATCACTTGGAAAATAATAAACATTTCTGATTGAAACTTGAAATTATATTTTTTTTGTTTTGTATTAGAAATAATAATAACATTTTTTATTTGTTAATTTTCTTATCAATTAGATTTCAATATATTGTTTAAAAAGAAATTATCTTTTATTTGTTATTGGTTTCAGTTTAATCAACAATGGATTTTTAATTGCTCTTTCGATCGTCTTCCATATTTAGTATCACTGTAACGCACTCGGAAGTTGTTGGGCATGCGCGACCGTGTTTGGTTGTTTCGGAGGTTGGGGTTACGAGGTGGGGGCGGTGGTGCCTGTGTTACGCCGGGAACTTCCACCAGAGAACCAGTGCCAAAATCGCAGACCGCAGCCAGCACCATGACAAAGGCCATCGCCACTAATTGGGGCCTCATCATTTTGTCACTTTGTTTACGCGTCGCTCAAAACAAACAAATCACTCGCAATCATTCAAGAATTCGACACCTATCCTTGGGTTTCCACGCTAGATCTGTGTTAAGACCCGAGATCTATACGTCCGTTCCGGTTGAAATTCACAAAGAGACTGAGTGTATTTCAAGATCCATTCGATTATTGGAAGCTTTTCTCGTAGACGAGCTTTTTTTCTCGAGATGCTCGAAGAGAGTACTTTTCTCAGAGGGATGGGATCGCCTTTGTTTATACATCTGTCTCCCGAAGACTGGGAAAAATCCCCCCGGTCTTTTGGCCTTTTTGGGATGTCAATCATTCTTCAATACTTAACACGCCGATCATGCCAAAACGATTCGCAATGGCTTGTAGAGAACTATGAACACGAGCTGAGAATTATTAATTGGCTGTGCAAAAAAAATAAAAAGGGGATGGAATCACCACTAAGAACTACTAGTCTTGAGCTTAACTTTACTCTTTAGTTCTGGTATCATTTTAATGCTAATTAGTTAGGCAAAGAGTGTGGATGGAAGCTAAGATTAACTCTGGCATCAGTTATGGCAATTTTTCATTATTAGCAATTATAATAAGCTCGTTTAGCATCGCTTCTAGTAACATTTAATGCTATTTAAGAACTGCACTAAGTATACAAAAATTACTGACTTAAATATGATTTATAATTACTATTTATAATAACCTAATTATAATAGTTTTCATCGTTAAGAATTAGTCATTTATTAGAAAATACTTTGAATGCAAATTTAAAACAGGGAAAAGGTGTGTTATAATTTTCTAAAATTGCATAATATAATATTCAGCCCACATATCTTTGTCATAAATTAATGGTAGACCTGTAGACCTTATTAAAAAGTTTCCTAAAAAATAAATTAAGAAAATGTTGATGTTTAAAACCGTGTTATTTTATTTATATTTTATTTAAGAAGCTATTGCGAAAAAACATAAATATTATTTTGTCTTACAATTAACAAAAATGCTTAAAATTGTTTACTGGCAGTAAACCTACTTTTCGGTGGCTTCTCGTCTTAAGTCATCGTTGCTAATTGCTAGATAATTTTATGCAACTGAAGCTATGGATTCTCTTACCTCACCTTCAAAATTCGCTACGTAGTTTGCATGCCAATGATATGCAAATCATATTCATTGGCCGTATGTGCAAGCCTGCCTCAACTTGGCGTCATTTCCATATATTAAACTACATTGTATATTGTTCGATAAGAAAGGGCATAGCCTGGTAATCGATGAGTAATCGTCGTGTGTTGTTGGGGAATGCATGCCAAACACTTTGTGATTTTCCCTCTACGTTGACATTATATTTTTAGATTTATATGCGTTTTTTATTTATATGGATTTTGGCCTTAGCCGTCATCGGTTGAAAAATAATGAAAGACTCACGACGGGCAGAATAAATATGGATGCAATTGCATTTTTCAATCGCCTTTACAACTTGTTCACGAGATTTTCCGTTGTTCCGCTTATGTCACTTGTAATTGTTTAGCTCAATTACAATGAAGATGGGTTTTATGGGTTTCTGAAGGTTTACAGCTGCATTGGAGATCCATTGGAAACCTTTTCCGATGGCCAGCTGCAAATAATTCGTGCTGAGATGAGATGCCCGCCTGCAGATACCAAAAGTCAGGGGCCCAAGTCTCATCCAACTCTATTTGTGGGCAAGATGAATTGCCGGGATGATGACGCAATCGAGGTTGGGGTGGCACAAAAAATAAGAGGATTGAGCGAAAAAGTTTCTTAACATCATGTATATTGTGTTTGCCATTTGGTCGAAGAAGAGAAAAAAAGAGTTGTGTCATTTACATAATTAATGCTTTTGGGTCCCACCACCCATTTTTTGGATTTTCCTTCTCCAGCCGACTTGTCATCCTCTTGAATTATTTCAATTGCTTGAATTGTGGCCGACTTAATTTCAAAGCACGCCATCAAAAATTATACAGCTATATTCTTATTTGTAGCGCCTAGAAAACAGCCCATTAATCAATCGAAATATTCTTGAAAATAAAAAACTAGTCATTACTTTTCATTGGCCTTGGCCGCTTTTTATTTAATATTAAATTATTGTACAGGTTGAACTTATTCAAATTGTATTTAGTTGCCATCCATTTTGTTAAATAATAAACATTCAATATTTTTCCATTTTCCATTTTAAATATACCCATTCTGCTGTCTATCGTTTTACTCTTGCCAAATATTGTTTTGTTCGTCTTTCACTACTTAGAAATCAACTACAAATATTTACAAAATTCTTCTTGTTTTTTCGGGTTTCTTCGTTTAACTATACAAAAATGCTTACGAGGTAAACATAAAAATTGCATGCTCCATCTAAACTATCGCCTAACTGCATCATCGAGAGTTCGTAATTTGTGTTAATAGATTTATTTTGTTTTTAACAAAGGTACATTAAATATTTACGACAAATTCAATGCATTAAAAATATTTAAGTTTCATATCCTTCCGTTCCGTTTCCAGCCCCTTAGTTAAATGTTTTTACCTTTCTTTTACCTTTTTAATACCTTTTTTACCTTTCGTTCCCCAGGGTTCCGAGGGAGGGATTACCCTGCCGCTTAGCTAATATATATATAGAATACGTTCCGCTAAAAACATTCTTAGTTTATTTACTCGTTTCGATTACGTTTAGGGATTAGCTTAGTTTTTTCTGTTCTCCATTATCTTTTGTTTGCTTTGCTCTTCTCGAATGTTGTGCAAAATAATCAATTGGAAAATGCCTCGAAAAATCATTTCTGATATCTGATAAAATTGCATTTAACGGAAACGAAAACCTTGCTAATTTCGTTCGATTCTATTCGATTCGATTTGTTCCATTGGCTCATTGGCTTATAAACTATGGACGTAACCTTCGGGATGGGAAAAGTGCAAAAGTGCGTTGCCATGCTTCGTTACCTTTTGTTTCGCTATTTCGATCCTAAAACTAATGGTAAATTTTGGGTAAACTTTTCGCAGAAAACCAAAAATAAACCAGAGAGAATGGGTAAACATCCTCGTTGCTAAATTTTGAGTGCGTGCAGAATTTTGTTTCTTTTTTTAAGTTGGCTAGCAAATAATTCTAAACAGATCCTACAGTTTGCAGTTCTCTAAAGTGCCTAATTCTTTATCTTTATTAAGTTTTTGTTTACTTCTTGTTGTGTTTACCTTGCTGTAGTGTGTGTTTTGTTCTTTATTTTTGCATACTTTTTTCATAAATCACAGAAAAAGTTTATTCATTTGAAATATTTGGTTTTTGTTTAGATCTGACCTTTACCTTTTGCTACAAAATATAATCTGGTTGTGGAACGCTATTAAAACGTGGCCCTAATCGAGTTATTTTGAGTGTCAACTAACTTTACGGGCTTGATATCTAGAGCTTGAAAAAATACCGACAGTTTCTCGATATTTAATTTGTGTTTTTCCCTTGAAAACATCGATATTATCGAATCGATTTTGTCAAAATATCGAAAATATCGATAATTTCCTAGCTCTATTGATATCTCCTTAGAATCGTGTCTTAATCAGAGAATCATAGCAATTTGATTGCCTACAACTCAAATTGGCTCGTCGTCGTTCTCATCGATATTCATAATATATTTTGTTCTACGCTTTAGTTTGCTCTACTCAAATCATTTTTGATTCATTTACTTTTGTTTCAAAACCATGTCAAGTGTCTTTGATTTCAATTTGCACATTTGTTTAGCTCTTATTTGAACTTCTCTTGAATATTTTTTCAGTGGAACCCGGAGATGTCGGGCGTCCCCTCGTCTTTGGCCAAAGTACGTTACGTTTCTTAGATTATGGAAATGGATTGGGCTTGGTTTAAATCTTCGATTCTTCTCTTTTCTACGAACTCTATGTAAAATACTTGGTTAGGTTACTTAGTTTGTTTTAGTTTAGTTGATGGCTATTTTATCTCGAATTTACTTTTGGTTGATTGCTAAAAATTTGATTCTACTCTTTTGCGTTCTTTGCTAGGTTAATTGTTTATCTATTCGCTTAAGTTTGCATCGAAAATTTTTATGATTTATGATCCACCAGCCTCCCTCCCAAACTTTGATTTGTTTTTTACTAAATGTTTCTAGGAATTCAAATTCACATTCAATCATCATCCACGCGGCAGCAAAATCACTGTAAAAAATAAGGAATTAAATTAGGAACATAAGAAAACGAAATGAGCAAACATAAATGGTATAAATGGTTTAAATTTATTTGTTTTACATATCTTTTAAGATTGATTTACTTTCTTTTTACATAAATTCATTTAATAATTATAAAATTATCACTTAAACAGCGCGGCGAATTTTTATGTATTTTATAATGACAAAGGAAGGGTTACAAAATCATACAATCGAACAATTAAAAGAGCTGAAATAATAACTTTGACTGTGCATCTCTATAATTTTTAAATTGAATAATTGCCTGGAAATAATCGTACATTTTGTGAGCACTTTTGTGTTGATTAATTGATTTTTTTAAGCGCATTACCGCCAATCCATTAATTTGTATTAATTGCACTCTATTAAAGCAGTAACCAATCGAATTTTTTTATAGACACTTTGGATAAACACTCGTCAGTCGAACAAATATCGACTAAAAACTAAAGAGAAAAATAATGGAAACGAAATACAGACATATGATGATGATTATTATCTCTCACTCATTGCAAACGAAAATATTGCGTAATCCACAGAGGCAAATTCACTCACTAAAGGCTAACTTTAAATGTAAATTTTGTTTTTAGCTTACAAAAGAATACAGAAAAACGTGTCTGCGCTTTGACTAAACTGAGTATCCTTTTCGACGCGGCTTTTGCAGGATGGCGAGAAGTGAACTAAACTAACTTTTAAGCAATTTGACTGAAAATAAAATGCCGCCGTTGGTTCTGCGTATGTCTGTCTTCTGCTAAACTCACTGCGAAATCGAGAACTAATAACTAAAAAAGTATCATAGAATTATAGTACAAAACTTCTGCGCGCACGAGAAGTTCCTTCATCTTCTCCATCTTCATCTTTTTCTTGCATTATATATGGCTGTCGATTGCTGGATGATTGCTGATATAGGTTGATTGACAGATTGATATAGTCCAGGAGGATTGGATTGGGCGATTGATTGGGTGATATTGGTGCCGGTGCCGAGGACTGGGATCCTAACAGTAGAAACGTACGCCATCCACAGAGAGGACTTGCTTTAATTTTCATTTATTCTGTCGATTTGGCTCCGTATAAAGCTGCACGCCTTCCACGGTGAAAATTGAGGTTTCTGTTGGGAGAGAGAAAAAACATATCAAATTAGTAAAAAATTAAAATAATATTTTTTGTAATTAAAAAGTTTGAATTATGACAACATGCTGCTGGGCCCTCTGACCATGACATAATTTAATTTACGACCATCGACGAGCGAGCGACAATTAAAATTGCCATTGGCGAAATTACATTTTCCAGCCACACATGATACACTCACACAGTTGCTACAAAACCCTAACCACTCACAAAGTTGACACGGATATGTACAGTAAAACATCTAAGGAGTAAACACTATGTAATGTGAAATTTTCAAAGAACTAGTTGAAATAAATTGCACAGTTATATTACCAAAAAAAATATTAACAATATTTTCACTTACGAAAACCCAAGAAATATTTTTTGAAATTATTTATATTTAATATATTAAACTTTGAATAATTCCTAAAAATATTCCAATTTTTTTGGGTTATTTGTAGCGAATCTTCACTGTGGTACACAGTGTGTTGGCCAACCTAAGCCACAAAACCGCACACGGGGTGTGATGACCTTTTCCTGGCCATGATAAATGAAGCGCATTAGTTGCGTTTTAATTGATTCTATCTGTCCACGCTGCGTATACGCAATGTTTCATGGACAAATACCAGGGAAAATACCAGGAAAATCTAAAGTCCCACCCCTTCGTAATGAGCTTGGGTTTGAAATTTTTCACAGCGACTGTGATTTAGCCAGAAATTAGCATGGAACCCCTATCTCTGGTTTTTTGTGTGTGTGTTTGTGTTTTGTAGAAAAAATAGAACCAGTTTTGTGTAAACAAATCACGCGTAATCGCATTTTAAGCACACTTTAAGCTGCCCTCGATTAAGTGCAAGTCCAAACGAGGGGGAATTTGCACTTCATTCATTTATATTCGCTTTTCCCACTGCATTCTCGAGTGGCTTTTGGGCCCCTCTATATGTATTTTTAAAGCCCTTTCTCTATTGCAATGGATTTTCTGGTCCCCCTGCAGTGCATTTGCCAAATTGCATAGTCCACAAACTACAAACTAGATGCTGGTTTGTGGGGCTGACCCTTAAATTTCCTTTTTTCCGAAATGTTTCCATTTACCGAGCAGCATCCGATAGGATGTCTGCTAATGAATGCAGGTCCTCAGGAAAAATAGGAAGTTAGTACTCATTTTATTTACTCGAAAATGCTGAGAAAATTGCAGTGGATTTGGCAAAGATAATTGGTTATAGATACACAGATACAATTTATGGGGTTTTTTTTTAGCTATTGGGTAGTAATTTTCAAAGAAAATTCACAGATATAATTAAAATTTTGTAGACAAAATAAATACCATTTATATAAATACTATTTCCGACATTTATTTACTTTGAATTACAATCTATAATATCGATTTTTTCCATATTATTCAAAGATCGATGTTTAACGGATAAATCCATGTTTTTTTGGCGTTTCATTAGAGAGTAACAAAATAATAATTCATCAATAAAGAGCCTCTTTGTTTTTTTTTTTAAACCAAAATAATCTTATATATTCATTTAAAGTTTGAATCTAAATTTTCTGTAAGTGCTTAGTAGATAGGCTTCCGATTTGAAAGCGAACCATTATTTACTCTCAGATGTTAATTTTACGCAATCTAATTAGTAGACCAACTTGATTTTCTCTCTGTAGAACTGCAGATCTCCCCGTATTTGTCCACCAAGTTTGTCCTTTGCATTCGGTATTTATTTTTGCCCAACTTGTTGCAAACTTTGTGCCACCACTTGAAATACAAATTAAAACTGGCAAATGCAATTACTGTTAACTATACCACGGAAACACTCGCTAAACAGGCGGCAGACGAAACTCTTATCCGAAAAAAGAAAACTCTTCCTCGAAAGGCAAACAAATTGTCGCGAAACTTAAATGAGTTGTCCTGCACAAAAGAATGGGCCTGGGCTATTCTACCTTCATGGGATTTTTCCCGTGACTTTCTGCCAACTTTGAGCAAACATTTCATCCCTTTTTCCCTGGCTTTGTTAATTGGTTTTCTTTTACAGACAATGGCCGAAGCCGAAAAACTTTCTTGGCTGCTTAAATGTTTAATGCATTAATTCAATTTTTCGGCAGACTCAGACTCACCGTCTGGCAATTCGTAGAGTTTCTTTGGCAACTGCGCAAAGTACGGATGCTGCAGTGCATCATCGGCGCCCAATCGCTGCTCCGGATTCAGTTGCAGGAAGCCGTTCGCTATCGTCTCGCCCTCGATGATGTCGTACAGTCGTGGGAAGTTGTGACCCAGTTTCCGCGGTCGATAGAAACCTGTAAACCAAAAAAAAAGAACGAAGTAAAATTAGCAGAGTTCCTGGCTCCGAAAGCCAATTACTTACCCAGCTTGTGCGGCTTGTAGCCGGGAAAGTGGGTGACCCCCGCCCACGTGTCCTCGGTGGGCGTGCCCAGCAATTTGAATATCTTGTCCAGCTGATCGTAGGTATCACGTATCCCCGGAAACGTCGGCATCCCGGTCACCATCTCCACGAAGATGCAGCCGACGCCCCACATGTCCAGCGAGGTCGAGTACTCGGTGCTGCCCAGCAGGACATCTGAAATGGTCACGAACTCGCAGAGGTAAGTAAATGCACTTCTGTTTTGTTGCAAAATAAATTGCCATTTTAAATAAATAAGAGGGTAGGGAGACAGAGAGAGTTCAGAGTGGAGGACCAGAAAGTCCAGGAAGAGATAGCCCTGCACTTCCTCTGCACCTTTGTGTTTATCTTTGCTGCCGCTTTTTGGCCAGCAGCTAACAAAGTTTAGTCCTCCCACGGGCACACACGAAATTCTGCTAAAAGTACCATGAATTTTTGTTTAAATAAAAGGAGTTTAAGTGGCCTAGTTCCATGAAGGAAATACAAAAACAACTAAAACCAAATGGTTACCAACATAACTAAAATGTAGATAAATACAACAAGTTCAAGGATGGTTTTACAAAAATAAACAGAACTTAACATGATTTTTTGAAAATATTTTAAGGTAATAAAATGTTATACTTCTGTGTCATTGATAAAATGAGTTTAACATTTGTTTTGAAAAATCTAATAACACTGTGCAGCATTTTTAGTGCTTTTTAAATTTACCTCGATGGATGCTATATTTTTGGATTCGTTACGAATTCCCAAGTTAAACTGCGTTTTCCAAAAAGTTCCCCGACGCAAGGATTCTTAGCAAAAGGACCTCAAAGTTCGAAAAATGCTGAAATTAGCCAACTTTGCGGAGCTCTCAGAGGCAAATGGATGCATGGTTTGATTCGATGTTAAAGTTTTTTAAAAGATACACCCCTTATCTTTTTAAACCCCATACTTAAAAAATTTTTAGATTTTTTTAAGGCAGAAACAAATTCTAGAAAACATAGTCAAAAAACATAAAAGTATACAGCAGCGGTCAAAATGGTAGTAGTGTTGCCGCCCTGTGTATTTAAAAGTTTGTTGTTGTGATTGATCTTTTCCTGGTAATATTGTATGATCATAATTTTACTATTAGACTAATTGGATAAGAAAAATTTACAACATCAAACTTTTAAAAACACAAGGCGGCAACACTGCTACTATTTTGACCGCAGCTGTATGTTTTTCAGTTTTTTGACTATGTTTTTTGGAATTAATTTCTGCCTTAAAAAAAATCCTAAAATTATTTTATGTATGGGGTTTAAAAGATAATGGGTGTATCTTTTAAAAAACTTTAACTTCGAACCAAGCCATGCATCCATTTGCCTCTGAGAGCTCCGCAAAGTTGGTCAATTTAAGCATTTTTCGAACTTTGAGGTCCTTTTGCTAAGTTTAACTTGGGAATTCGTAACGAATCCAAAAATATAGCATTCATCGAGGTTAATTTTTGATGCTGCATAGTGTAATAATTAAAAGAATAAATTTGCATAAATGCAATCTATTATACTGCATTTCCATAGTGTGTAATTTCATTTTTAGTGGTGATTTTATATATTTTCTCTTTTAAAAATGTATAAAAATAAGATTTTCGGATTTGTTGTGAATTGTTTACTACTCTATAATTTATTAGAATTTTTTATAACAAGAGTTTGGGATTTCTTGAATATTATTTACCACTCTAAATATTATTTAAATTTTAAAAAATCCAATTTATAACAAAAAGGTTTTCTATTATATCTAACACACCTAAAAATCCTCTAAAAAGGTACCTACATATGCACCTGTTCACCTCGCACAACGGATTTTCCGAGCAGGTGGCGACAGGTGCCCATGGCAACCACATCCGCATCCGCATCTGCATCCCAATCCCCATCCGCATCCGCTCCTTGCCCCTTTGTTTTTCCCCTTTTTTTTAGCTAGCTTCCGCTTTTTGCCTGCCGGCGTTGTCTGCCAAGAAGTGCAGATTAAATTTGTTTAACATGCTTCCGAACTATTCCCCAGCTGACGTTGATGGCGCCCGGGGGTCAGGGGGTCAAAGGGGTCAGTGGTTCGGGCTAGGGGCACTGCAGTTCAGGTATTCCTTATCCCCACACACAAAGTGTTTATGCCCAGGGAATTGCATATTAGGAAAAAATTAACTTTATTCTCTACTGCCTTTCTACTCTTTTGCTTTAGTTTTCCATTTAGCTGGCTCCTAAATTGATGGAAAAATCTTTGCCATGCAAAATGAATTGTTTACCCATTGTCAAGGGATCGGATCTTAGTGAAGCATTAATTTAATCCCACTCAGGCTCCCCAGCTAAGCCAAACAATTTTCAGCCTGTATGGGCGCCAATTAATTGGCTTCGAGTGCACAAAACAAACGAAATAATTTAATGCGATTTTCAAATTGGTTCGACTTTGGGGCTGAGGGCTAAGCTTCAAACTGCAAATTGTTTGCGCATCCGAAAAGTGATTACTAGTTTTTTCTTGCTGCTTCTGTTTGGCTGTGAAAAGCTTACATGGAAAGGCTCTTAAGTGTTTAACTTTAAAGGGATTAAAAGAAGGAGAAATACAAAATTTCACAGGAATTTCACAGAATTCAAGCTTTTCCAGGCGCCTTTTTGAAATGGAAAACTAAAGTGTAAAATAAATAAATTCTTTAAATTTCGCAACAAAAAACTAAACTAAAGCAAAATAATATTTTTGAAAATTCTCTGAGCACCAAATATCACTGTAATTTGTATAAATGCCTAACTTAAAATTGCTGAACTCTCTCTTCCCCATTTTTCCTGCCGTTTTTCCACTAGGAAATGAAAACCCACCTGGAGGGCGGTACCATAGCGTGACCACCTCGTGGGAGTAGGTGTGACTGGGCACGCTCTTGGCCCTGGCCAATCCAAAGTCGGCCAACTTCAGTTCGCCGCAGTCGCTGATGAGCAGGTTCTGCGGCTTGACATCCCGATGAAGGACGCGCCGCTTGTGGCAGTAGGAGAGTCCACGGAGCAGCTGGAAGAGGAACAGACGCACGTTGCGATGGTCCAGGCCGCCCGGATGCTTCTCCATGTATTGCGACAGATCGGTATTCTAAAAGGGGAGAGGGTTTTAATTATTAGCATGAATATTTATTAATATTACATGGAAAAAATCAAAGGAAGGAGTTAAATTATTTCTACCATTTTTATGGAATTTTAAAAATGGTTTTCTATTGCATAAAATATTTTCTATTTATTTATTACTATTTACTCTCCAAAATAAATCAATGTAAAGTATATATGGTCCTTCTCATTTAGTTTTAATGATGAAAAGAAGAAATTCACCTATTTATACCATTTTTGTAGCATTATTCAAACTGTTTTCTAATCTATAAATATTTTTTTATTTATTTATTTATGAGTATTTACTCTTCAAGATAAGTCGAGAAGTAGTAGATGCGCCTTTTAGTTTAATTTTAATTTATTTATTACTCTTTATGGATCACTCTTCATAAAACTCAATACAATGTAGTTTTTCTCCTTTCAAAGGCAGTTTTAATGTAGAACCTTCATTTTTTCAATCGTTTCCACATTTTTCAGGTATTTTCCAAGTACTCACCACATATTCAAAGACAAAGGTCAGCGTCTCGCGCGTGTGGACGATGTCGTGCAGCGTGACGATGTTGCTGTGTTTCAGTTCTTTCAGCAGCGAGGCCTCACGAATCGCGGTAAACGGAGCTCCCTCCTCCTCCTGCAGCCGAATCTCCTTTAGCGCCACCCGCTGGTAGGTTAATCTGTGGGCCACAGAAAAAAGGCGGAGGGACGGGGAATTAATAAAATAAATACTCGAGCGGCAAATGTCCGGACAAGAACAACAATTGCACAGCTGCCGGCGAAGCAACAAAGAATTAGGCTCACAATTTGTGGTACACTCAGAAAATGAATCGCCCTGAATTTTAGAAAATCGCCTATGGATTTGCTTCACTGGCGATTTTTTTCTTTAAAATAAAAAAATTTTCTACTGGTAAAGAAAATTTTCTTCCAATTAATCAAAATTCATTAAATTCAAGAAATATTCCAGAAATATAGAAAAAAATCGCCAGTAAAGCAAATCCATAGGCGATTTTCTAAAATTTTTTTTTGAGTGTAGGAGCCTCCTCCTCATCCATAGAATGTCGTCCTGGCCAAAAGTCAGGACATGTGGGGTGTGGGTCCAAAAAGGGGGCTTTGTATATTAAACAGACATAACGACCCAACACGCAGAGAAATGTACGGCAAACACTTAAATTAGGATAAGGGACAGGCCACAGGACATGGAAAAGCAGAGAGGATACAGCCTGCAAGGCAGAGATGGCAGCTCAGCTTTATTTTGTAGACCAAAATGGTTCGGAATGTTAGAGAAAATAAGTTTCAGACATCTTAAAAAAAATAAATATATTAAAAAATTAGGAAATATAATAACCAATTTTCAAGTAAATAAAAAATACTAGGAAGAACTTTTTTTCAGTAATTTAACAAAAATTCAGAAAAAAAATAAAAAAATATATATATTTGTTGCTTGGTATTTAAAAATTCTTAAATGCGTAAAACGTTTTTCGTTTAATTCCTTACCCCTAAAACATGTTCTACCTTTCCGAGAAAAGCGACAACACTTAAAAGAGGATTCAGAAAAGCACAGGGGAAAGGACACAGCGGAGGACATTTGAAGTGTCAAATTAGGTTAAATTATTTGACACTGGCGCACAGACGTTGGCAATTTATGCGGCTTTCTCGCATTGCCAAGGCAACATTCTAATTGGCAAAGGCGAAAGCCGCCCAAAAAAATGAAAGAAAAACCCAGCACAGAAGGCAAATCTTAGCATAAAGTAGTTGACTTTAAGAGCAGAAGCTAGAGCGAATTTAGGAAAGTTTTTTTATGGCTCAAGCATAGCAAGCCAGCATGAAGATGTCACTCGAATATGTCAAAGTGCAAGTTTTTAGGGACTAGAATTTATCACGCCACCAGCTAATTGGGCAAGCGAGGGTTAATGATGATGATGAGGGCTCCTCCTCTCAAGCTCATCAATTTGTCAAGCAGCATCGTAAATTTTTCGGTTACCCAGTAAATATGCTCAAAATATCCTAAACTTTTTATCGCAAACATAAACATTTACACACTTTTTTCCTATTCCCGAATTTACGAACAATATCTTCGAGTAGCGGCGAATTAAACCCTTTATGCGATATCAAAATGTATTCTAAAACACACTCGGTTAATAAACCTTCTTCTAGGCGGCTGAGAAAAATGCTATAAAAAGCTTATGTCCTTACCGCATCCTGAGCAATTTCCATGTAAACGAAAAACAGCTGCCAGGCAAAGCAGGATTTTCCCATGAAAAATTACACGGAAAATAAGGAGAAGAAAATTTTAAAGCTGATAAAATTTAATTTAAATAAATTCTCAGAATTTAAATATATTTTCTGTAGGTACCTTTATATTTAGAAAATTATATATTTTATATTTTAAAATATGTAAACTCCAAAATAATTTATTTATTTAAAATTTTAAATTATTTATTTCAACCTGAATATTTGTTTCTGTGCCCAAGAAAAGCTCTAAAATTTCTAGATAATTTTTTAAAATTTTAAATTATTTATTTCAACCTGAATATTTGTTTCTGTGCCCAAGAAAAGCTCTAAAATTTCTAGATAATTTTTCAAGTGGCAAATGGTAAATGGTGGGAGATTTGTGAAGAGGATTTGCTGGCTGAGACCAAACTTTGTCATGTTAATGCTAAAATAATACGATTTAGTTAAGCATAAACCGAAAATTGCGTGTGCCATCAAAGTTGTGGGAAAAGTTTTCGCAATCGAAGTTTCCCCCGCCAGTTTCGAGGACTTTTTGTGTGACAGCTGACCTACTAAATGCTAATCAGCAACTTGACTTTCTGCTCGATGGCTCTCGACTTGATTTCTTGCCCTTTTCCCAGTGTTTGCATAGGTAGAAAATAGTACGAAAAGAGGCATTGGGAAATACAAAGAAAAATCCAGGACAAGGCAAGGAAAAACGAAAGTCAAATAGAAGTGAAATCATTCATGAAATCTTTTACAATTGACAAACAGAAAAGGATCTGCAGAGTAGCTGGGGGATTTATTCAGAGGAAGGAGAAAAAAACAGTCCGAGAGGAAGCATAAATCTTGGAGAAGGAAAGTGACCTAAATTTTCATTTGAAAAGGAAGAAAACAGAAAAAAACACAGCGAAAGGACTCTAAACAAAGAGAGGCCTAAGAAAAGCGAAAGCCAAAAACTGAGGGGTCACATTTCCATTTGGCAGATAAATTAGAGCGAATTAATTGCATTTCGTATAAACAAAGGCTAATTGGAACTCATTTCGCATGTAAGTGCCGTCGTGCATAGCAAATGAGTGAGGAGACGGAAAGGAAAGCCGTGGGAAACTAGGCGATGTAGGGGAACAATGAAAGGGAAAGGCGGGAAAAGTCTCTCGGTTCCAAAGAGCCTGACTCCCTGTCAAAGGAACTTTGTTCGTTTTTCACGTAATGCCCATTGTTAAAGGAAGAACTTCGAGGCAACACCAAAGCAAATGATTGTCAAATAAATCAAAAACAAAAGGGAGACACAAGATGAAGTGTGTGAGAGATGGAGGAGCAGAAGGAAAATGGAAAATGGTGTGGGAAAATCGGGGTGCAAGTGGCTGTGACAGGCGAAAAAAAGGGGACTGGGTGGCATCTATCATCGGAAAAGCAGGACAGGGCGAGTCCTGTCAAAAAGGTGACGAAGCTGGTTGCCTCTCTCCCGTTTTCCTCGATTTTCCCAAGCCATTTGCCAAATTATGAAGGAAAGACCCCCAAAAAACCCCAACTCCAATCCAAGAACTCCAGCTCCTTAAACAACTGAAATCAGTGCCAGACGAGGCGCAAATGAGGCAGCATTTTGTAATGCGATGTTTTTCTGAGGAGGAGGGGAGGGTGAAGGAAAATAGGCTATGGAAAACCCAAGGAAGCCAACTCAATTGTGGGGCAAGTTTTCAGAAAAGTGCGTGGAATGCACTGGGGAAAAATATACATATAATAAAATATTTATTAAATAAATAAATAAAAAAAAATAAATAGGGTTATGAGTTTATTCCTATTTTGATTGTTCAACTGTTTAGATTTGGATGCTTTTGTATTTTTTTTTTTAAATTCCTACAAATTTTTTCTCAGTGCGGAGTTAGGCCAAGTTAACAATTGGGGACAAAGGCAAGAAGAAAAGGAGCCGGGAAAAAGGACATTCCCGCTGCTCCTGCTGCTGCCACTGCAATCTCCTTCGCTTTATCCCGCCGGGTGACCCACATTGCCCCTGGAAAACCCCGGACCACCCTTTCCTTTTGGCCCCGTGATTGATAGCCACATTTGCATGGCTCTCTTCTGGCTGTAATGAGTCTGCCAACGGGGACAAAGGAAGATGGTTTTTGGTTTTGCGTTTTAGGTTTGGGAGAAGGGAAAAGAGTTCCAAAAAAACGGATGCACGAGGGAAACTAGCGAATAAATCAAGGCAAAATGACGACACACATTTTTTTTCTAGCTTAAAAAAGGAAATCCATTTTGATCGGAGGGGTCGTCGCAAAATTCAAGCTGAGTGATATGCCGGCAATAATTTTTTATTTAACCCACTGACACGGCAACCCATTTTTTGGGTGTGCTACTCACTTGCTAAATCCTTTGTAGACCGTCGCATAGGACCCTTCGCCCAGCGGTTCGAGTTTTACATAGGCCTCCTGCTTGCCAAATGGGGAGTCGCCCTGTGGGAGAGAAAAAATGAGAAAGGACGAAAAAAATTTAATGAAGAACAGAGCAAACACAAATGGAGTTGGGTTTGAAAAGTGTATCATGTTTGTTAATTAATTAAGCAAAGTTAGTTTGGTGTGCGGTTCGCAGAGGTTCAGAGTTCGCATTACATTAGCGCGTGATGTAATCAGCGGGAATGGGAATGAGTATCCACTTCGGGAAAGCCACATGTTTGTTTCCAGTTTGTTTTTCAATTACGCTTAGGCTTACGTTGTTTTCCCGGGGAATATATTTTTCAGCCTGTTTAATTAATTACTTAATATGAAGTTGGGTCATTGAGCAAACAATTGTTTGCACTTTCTATGGTTTTCCATACGTTGAAATTAATTTTTGTTTATTTATAGAGGGGAATATTTCTGCCGTTTTAATTAATTACTTAATATCAAGTTGGCTTTTTGACTCCCCGAGGCTAACATTTGTTTATCAGTTTAATTTTTTTAATTTATTAGAGTTCAATATTTTTTTAAGGGCCTGAAAGTAGGCTGTAAAATTGTTTGACTTTGTTGTGTAGTTCTTTAATTTGCCGTGGATCTTGCTGAAGGCGCCACAATAAATTGTTTTATTGCTGATAATATTATTCGAAAAATATAAAAAAAAGAATATCCTTGAAATAAAGTGCCTTTCCTTTGAATTTACACCCTTAATCAAATAAAATTTAATTAAACAGTAATTCAATTTTCTTCTTATATTTTAAAGTAATATTTATTAATGAACGGGAACTCTCAATGCCTAGACAAAGGGTCCCAACAAGACAAATTTCAAAGAGAATAAAAAATTTCAATATCAAACCGGGCTCAGCTTGGTCAACTCCATGCAAAAGCGGCTAGAAATGGTTGGGAATTATAGGAGCTGCCGAAGCGCAAAATCAACGCACACATAAGTATGCTATATACAAGTGAGTATAGTGCAAACTGGGGTGGTTTATGTGCACTGAAAGTCCTTACTTATCAAGTACCATTGATTCATTGAGTGTATAAAAAGATAGTTTCTTCAAATCGGTTTTTCTTTTGTTTAGTGGTACATAAAAATCCAAAAATCATAGCAAAATCATGACAAATACTTACACCAAATGCACTGAATCGTTTGCGTCGCGGATGCGTTTCCTGTTTGTTCAGAAAGACCTCGGACTTTGGTCTGGGCGGCTTCTTGGGACGCATGACCACGTGCGAATGGTACTTCATCTCCTCGCGGATGTCCTCGTCCAGCAATTTGCTGTCGGAGGACACGGAAAGCTGTCTCTGGACGCGATCATGATGGTCGGTGCTGTCCGTGCTGCGCCAGTCTGTAAATAAAAAGGAAACGGAATACTAGAGTAACAGGCCAAAACAAAGTGAAGCAGGTAAAGACCCAAGTTCCCGAGTTCCAAGTAAAGGCTGAAATGCAAAGGAAGAGCCGCTTAATGAGCAGCAGCAGCAGCAGAAGCAGACCCATTTAAAAACCAAATTAGTGGCCCCGACAACAACCTACAAGTGAGTCGAAAGTGGATGGCACTGCCGGTGCTCAAAGGACTATTTATGTACACTCGCTGAAAAAGGCTATCTAAAATCGCATTTACGGAAGAGGAAGTGGAAGTGCAGCATTAAAAGAAATTTAACTTTTAATTTAAATGTGTAAATAAAATCATTCATTGAACTTTGATTGTAAAAAAATCATATTTAGCATTTTAAAAAAGATAATATTTTTTAATGTCGTTAAAAAAATTTAAAAATTAATTTGAGTTCACTAAAATCTGACAAAAAATTATTGCGAACATATAAAATATTTATTGACTTAAGAAAACTTTAATTTCCTCCTTTTCATTTTCCCTCTTTTTTAATGCATTTTTGTCAGCGTAAGAAAATAATTGCTAGATGGACTTTGGCATTTCTCATTTCCTTAATGAGCACAAAAGGTGCAGAAACGCGAAAGGAAAAATTCCTGGCAGCCGGACGACTCATTATGCACATCATCAATATAATGAAGGATGGGAGAGAAGCGATGCGAATCCCAGAGATCTTTGGCCGAAATAAATCGAGTTTGACCAACCTTGAAATGGACGGATTGAATGAATGGTGGAAAATGTGCCATGTTTACCAGCTCGGCAGCCTCGTTATAATAAAATGTTTCAAAAGCAACCACAGCAGCTGGCGAAAGTTGGTCTAGGACAAAGTTTTCCGCAAGGAGGAGTTTGTTGGGTGGAACGCACAGGTGTGCTGAATTTCCCGTCCAGGTGCGAAATCTGGGACTGGGTCACCTAGTAACCTGCTGATGATATTTCTTCATTCATTGACTTTGCGGGAGCCCTGGATGCTTTTTTTTTATTTTTTTCGGTCCAGTTCGGTTTACCTTCGAGTTCACGCCCGCCCAGCTGCGTTTACTGTTTGTTTGGTTTTCTATTTGAGCACTAATTACATTTTAAATTATGTTTGCTTTTCCCCACAGTTGCAGTTCGCATCGTAACCGTGACTGACTTTTCCTAGTGGCGGGGAGGGGGAGGAGAGTGCGGAAAATGGGGGGAAGTTTTCCAGCTCAGGTGCATCTGCTTTCGCTTGAAATATTTATATAACAAAGTTGCTGCTGCTGCGCTGTAAATTGCTTTGCTTAAAGAGATTGCTCTTAAAGATTGAAACTTTAGTTTTCAGTTCAAAAGACCCAAAGACACACAAAAAGCACTAACACTAAAATAAATACCAAATATCTTGAAATATTTTCCACTTGTGAATTCGCAACATGTTTGCCATTCGACTTTACTTTTTCACTTATTTCTTTTTCCGCCTCCCGCGAATCATAAAAAAATGTAATATTCGCTCGCAAGATGTTCTCTTCCGGCAAGAGTTTCCTTATTCCTGCAGAATGCTTGAAAAATTACTAACATAAAAATTAAAAATTCAACAGTAGCTGATTGTAGAAAAGAAAACTTTGAGCGGCCCACTGAGAGCAATAGACTGGGTGGGGTGGTGGATTTTCCTGAAGGGGAGGGGCTGGAAAAGAAAAACTGACGAGCTGCCGCCGTTGAAAGATGATCCGAAGTCCCAGCACGGAAAGAAAAATAGTTTTTTTAGTTTTAAAACCAAAACGAAGTTCCTACACCTCAGATGAACCTTTATAAAAATATTATAAACAAACAATAAATTGTAAAAATAAGTATTTAAAGTGAGTCCTAATATCTAAAACTTTACATTTTTTTAAAGTAGTTTTTTAAAATAAATAACTATTTTGACATGAAACATGAAACACATTTAACATGAAATACTTTTAAGCAAAAATTTAAAATATGATAAAATAAATGTAATAAATGAATAATAGGTAGCCTTGGCAAAAATTAAGTTATAAAAAAATGTTTTTCAAGATAAAAGTTTTTGTTTTTTGTTAGAAACACTAGATTTTCTTCACAGTGCCTCATAGAAGGATACACATCCTTAGCTCGGCATCCTCTGTATGCTGACAGCGATTAAATGCGCAATATGCGCCATAAATGAGCCAAATAAAAGAAAAACTTCAATAAAACAGAATATATATTTCAAAATGTTCTCGTTTTTAGTCCTCCTAAAGCTTCTCTCTATATGTGTAGTATATCTTGTCTAGTCGCTCGGGTGGAATGGCATTTGCCGTCGTCTTCGATTCTTTTTTCCTTTTTATTCCCGGCAAATCAGCGAGGAAAAAACAACAAACGATGGCAGAAGCAAGCATTTGATTTGCAAAATTGACTGAGCATTGGAAAAGTGCCTGTAAAATTGGAAAATGAGAGCGAGAACTCAGAAAGGGGAAAGGGCAGGATATTCGCTGACTTCCTTCTGGGAAAGTCCTTAAATTGAATTGCCAAGAGCAGCAGCCAGCAAATGTCAGGCAGCGAATATGGCTTTTTGGCAACGATAATTGGATATGAGAGTGGCAATGCGAAAGTTGCTATTTTTTGGCATGGATATTTTTGGGGTCATCAAAACGATTATTATTATATCCATTACGAGATGCTTGGCTATATAGATTTCGATTTGAGATGTGGCAGGGAATTAGGGCAGAGAATGAGCTAAAGTGCTTTAAAGGTTTTATTATTTTTGGCACAGTTATTTTTGGGGCATGAAAACTATGATTATTACTTTTTTGAGATAACATAAATATTTATTTTTTTTGTTACATGAAAACAAATGTGGAATATTTTCTTATCAAAAATTTTAGAACCTGGCAACTTTGTGGCAAAACCCTCTTATCTTTTCCCTGACCCAATTCGGTTTTATCTACCTGCTGCTCCCTTAGTTACCTTTCGCCACACCCCATAAAGTTATTTAGTATTCCATTCTCTCCACTCAACTCTTTTTATCGCCCATCCCCCGCTGGCTGCTATCTTCCCCTATATTATGTTTTTCCTCCTTCAACGCCTTCGTATAAAGTTTTATTGCATTTCCCTTACACATATCTTTATCTCGCCACCAAAAAAAATATATAAAATAAATGTGAAAAATCTGTGACGTGAAAATCTTGAAATGCAAACAGAAATCAGTACAGGAAGCTGTCGCCAAAAAAATAAAAAAAGGGAAGTGGAGAAACTAAAATGAAAGAAGATAAGTTGAGGGAAATTCGCTTGTAAAATGAAAACAATGAAAATTATGCAAGCGCATCAAGGAGAGGCACTTGCAAAAAAAAGATAAAAATAGCACAGGGGATTCTGTGGGGAATTCAGGGGATATGGGGGTTATATAGGAGGCAGATGTCCGCGGAGGCTGTCGCTGATGTCTGGTATATTCTGCTGCCCCTGCCAACTCGTCCTTCGACCAGGGTCTCTTGTTGATATAGTTATGCAAATGCTATGCAAGGATGTCACGTCCTCCCGCTGACTTAAAGCCACGCACACATGGGACAAATACCAAGTGAGTGTGCCAAGGGGGCAGAGAGCTTTGCACAGCCCCTAGTATTTTTGGTACACTCTAAAAAAATGCATTTATTATTTTATTTTACTATTATATTTTACGCAAGAATTGAAACCATCATACGAAATATCATTTTACAATTTTAGGGCATATTTCCTATATTCCTTTTAAGACTAAGAATTCCTAATTTAATTGATACTATTATAAATCATCTTTGTCTGAAGTAATAAATACTACTATTATATTTTCAAGGACCTATTTCTAAATTCTTTTTAATACTACAAATTCTCTTAATTCATATACCATTTAAGGGGCCTATTTTTACACAAGAATACGACATTGACAACATGACAGTTATATTCTCAAATATAAATACTAAAAACAAGTAAAAATCTTCACAAATCCCTCTATTAAATTTGTAAAATTAAAAATAATAAATTTCCCCACCTTTTACTCCAACTCCCACTCCAAAATAGAGTCATAAAAATATTTCGAGTGTCCCTTATTTGTTCGGGATGTGTGTGTGCTCTCAGTCTGCGGCCCCCCAAACACCGCTGTTGTCCTTTTGCATTATTGCATATTATTGTAATTTCTGTTTACTATTTGTTTTTGGCTTTGCAACAATATTTATGTCTCTCGGGCCTGTCTGGAGGCTGCATAAATGTCATAAAAAGAGCGAAATCACGGCGGCTTGTTGCATAATGCTGAGTGGGTCAGCCAGGCAGTCAGGCGGCCACGCCCCACTCCACAGTATACAGTATACAGTACAGTAGTGTGCCATAAAAAACCATAAAAAATGTGCACATAAAAGTTTTTACTTTTCATTTGCATAAGGATGAGATATGGGTGGAGATACCCCCATTCAAGTATTATTCTTTTTTTTTTGGATGCATGTGTTACTGTATGTATATATTGTTATTCATATGCGCGTGTCGAGCATTTGCGTAAAAATTTAATAAAGCGACACTCGAAACTCGACACTTCCGCTTCGCTTTTCGCCCACTTCCGTTCCCTTTTCCTTTTTTCCTTTTGTCGCGCAGGGTTGCCTTGGCCAGGAAATGGCATTTCGATAAGACCGATGGCAACTCTGGTTGGCCATCGACAACGAATTTCGAATTGCCCAAAAATAAAGGAGTCGAAAATTTCGTTCTCCCCATACTTGCTTTTTTATACCCCCAAAAAGGGATGTATCCATGGGGTATTGGTTTTATCTGGCGACATCTCAGCCTTCTTCTCCCTGTTTTTCGCTGTTTATGTTTGTGATTTATTATTCAAGCAAGAAATTAAATTTTCTCTTTTTACTGCAGTCCAGCATCGAACCCCCATCCACCTACAGACTGTCTGCACGTTTTGGCATCGCTTTGGACCCCCTTAACCCCTGTTGCCCCGTTGCTTTTTCCGTTTAGTGCCTAAAATTTATTGTGTTGTTGTAGAATTCAATTACAATACAGACAACGAAGACCAAAAAGCGGCAGAGAGACAAAAATCGACTTAAAATGGGGGAGTTTTTGGGGGTCTTCGAGGGGTGAAAGGATATGCAATGTTGCATCCTCAAATATTTGCTTTCCATTTCCGAAGCCCCAATGATAAACTCAGTTAGAAATGCCTGATTAAAGTGAAATTAAATTCTAGCTAAGCTCAAAAACTGTCTGTCTTTTCGGTATTTTTTTGGAAAAACTTCAATTGGAATTAAGGGGCTTTCCTTTTAACCAGCTCGAATTATAAACTGAATTATAATTGAAACTCAAATAATCTGTTGAATCAGAAAAATGAAAATATATAAATGCTGGCATGTTTTATATAATTTTAAAATAAAACAAGAGAGAACGCTATAGTCGGGTGCCCCGACTATCAGATACCCGTTACTCAGCTAAAGGGAGTGCGAAAGAGATGGAGAAAAACTTTGATCCTTCGTAACTTTTTAACGAATGGTCCGATTAAAAAAATTTCTTCTACATTTCGATAGGTATTGATAAACACAATAAAACTGCATTTTTACTTTTCCAAAATATTGAAATTTTTAAAATCGTATATAAGCGATTGTGGGCGTTAGAGGGGGCGTGGCACCCTTTTGAAACAAACTTGCGCTGCGTAGGAACTCCTAGAATCTGCATGCAAAATGTCAATCTTCTAGCTTTTATAGTTTCCGAGATCTCAGCGTTCATACAGACAGACAGACAGACAGACAGACAGACAGACAGACAGACAGACAGACAGACAGACAGACAGACAGACAGACAGACAGACAGACAGACAGACGGACAGACAGACGGACAGACGGACATGGCTAGATCGACTCGGCTAGTGATCCCGATCAAGAATATATATAGTTTATAGGGTCGGAAACGCTTCCTTCTACCTGTTACATACTTTTGCACGAATCTAATATACCCTTTTACTCTACGAGTAACGGGTATAAAAAATATTTAAAATTTAAATTAAACAATTTACTCCTTTGAAGGTGCTTAATATATCCAGATTACCATTTAAATTGAACTATTTCTCTGATATCTACTCAATTAATCTCCTTTAAAGGTATAAAATTATATTTGGATTTCAAGATAGTAAAATTATGTGACTAAAAGCCTGCATAAATATTTATTTTCCATTTTCAAGTATTAAACTTAACAGGCTGAACATGAATTAAGTTTGAGAGGAGCATAATGAAATAATCCCAAAGTTGCCAATAAATTGCTTAACAGTTTTCTCCGAAAATCCATCCTTCTGCTACCGAAAGAAAATATCCATTTAGTCTTTGGGTAACTTCATATTTTAATGGCCACCCCCTTGTTTAGTATGCAAGATTTATAGTCGGCCAGAATTCAATTACGGCGATGACAACCTTTTTTGGACTGAAACTCAAATTCAGACTCAGAAAGCAGACTGCATCCTTGAATCCTCGGATCCTTGGATCCTTGAATCCTTCGCTAAGCCAATGGGCTTGTGCAAATGTCTCAATATGACAATGGTGGCCCGCTGCGTTTTGTCATTACTTTTGGCTGTCGCCTGCATTCGTCCTTTTCGTCCTTTTGCCCCACCGAACTCACTTTTATTGACAAAAGGATACGGATACGGAGATCCTGCGAGCACAACAAGCTCTCGCCGACTGCTTGACATCTATTTTAATGACATTCTGAAAGCTTTGGCGCATAAAATATGGCAATTTAAATTGCTGTCCGAAGAAAACTATTAAAAGTCTGGGATATTTCCGGTGTAGCAAAAACGGGTTAAAAATAGTAAAGTCAAGAGAAGACATGCTGTGCAAATAAGAATATTCAAAGTAACAGATTTTTGAGGGGGTTGGAATAATAATAAAATGCATTTTACCTTGTGGTTTGTTATTATCATTTTTCGCAGACTCTTGTGCTAAAAATAAACAAAATAGAAAGAAATGGGGGGAAAATGTTAAATTAAAAAAGTGTTTCATTCAAGCAGGAAGCAAAAAAATTTGCGCAACTATAACTAGGTAAAAAAGTATGTTAAAGTATAGGGGGTAAAAAGCGGTTAAAAGTGCATTTAACATTATTTATGGCTTAACCCAGTAAAAATCCACTTGGTCACGGAGTTTATCAAAATATGTGTTCAGATTTTATGATTTACAATCAATTAAGTGTGTGGGGTTACGATGTTTACGACGGGTTTTTGCCCTCTGAACTTTGTTGACAAATAAAAGCATAAATCGCGCGTAATAATTGGCCGAAAACAGGAAAAGCCAAGCCAGCGAAAGGAAAGCACATTTAATGGCTTATACACAAGCGCATTGGCCATGGTCAGGAGAAGAGGACAATAAAAGCCAACAAAACGAGGAAAGTAAGCGAAGGAGCACATAAAAGTCGTTAAAAGATTTACTCTATTCCCTGGTAAGCACACTGCGAGAAAAAAAATATTATAAAATATTGAAGGAAATTACCTGTTAAAAAATTATTGAATATCTTTTTAAAAAATTATTGAATATCTTTTTTAAAAAATTTATCAAATTAAGTACAATTTGAAATATTATTAGGATTTTTTAAAATTAATTTAACAATCATAATTGTTGAAAATTTATTATGACTTAAATCTTTAAAATAATTGAAATAGAAACCAAAACTTTCTTTGATTTAATTCCACATTAAAATGTTATATATTTATTTAACTTAATTAAATATTTTTCTCTGTTTACAAAAACCAACTTTTATACGTATTTATTCGTATTTTCGCACTCTTCCTTTGGTGGCGAACTTTTCTCGTATGTTTTCGATTTTTATTGAATAAGGAATTAACATTTGATTAGAGATTTCGGTTTTTCTGCTGGGACTTGTTCTAGTTTTTGGGCGTGAGCGCGTGTCTGGGATTTAAGCTTCTGTCCCTGGCGTTCATCACTTCCAATTACACTCTTATTTATTGCCAAACGAAAAAGTGCAAACGAAATGCCGAAGCTTCGGCAAATTGATTTGTGCGTGTGTGGATTATCAAGGGTATTTTATGTCTCGTTGTTCAAGGATTTTCCAAAAACTCCACACACTTGTCACTTGACGATGGTGTGTTTAATTACTCAAACCCGTTTGGAAAACAATCGATTTCGGGTGCAAAAGCATTTTCCAATTAAGCGAAGGAAAAGGAAAACCCAAGAATGGCCAACGAACACGTACAAACAATTTTCAAAACGTGGCAAATTATTAATTGCTGACACTGAAAGTCCTTTATTTTTTTTTCTGTTGTTGGGGTCCTTGAATTAATTACCCACTCCAAATATTTAGTAACTCTATTAGTGCGGATGGGAATGTGCCAGATTCAACACTTGAAACAGACATTTTTGGACAGAGAGATTGCCACATCAATGGGTAAATCCCTCACAAAAGGCTCAAGACTTCAGCAACAGACATCGACCACTTTGATGTTTTGTAATTAAGGCTTACAAATCCTTCCTCGTTCGAACTTTTCCTCTTTTCCTTCGCACTTTTCCGCACGCCACACACATCCTGGCGAGACAGCCAAACAAACACACACAGAAAACTGTGTGTATTACTTAACAAATTACATACAAATTACTTTACTCCGTTTTTCTCTTCAAGGGGATGAGTGAAAATTTCCCGCCCAACAAACACAGAAAGAGGAAATCGCTAAGCGTTTATAGGGAATAAAAGCTAGGGATGGGTGGTTTTGGATACTATAAGAACTAAAAAGAAAAATATCTTTTTCCCTTTTTATAAATTTTTAAAAATAATTAAAAGCTTTTTTGGCTAATCTAAATATTAATTAAATTTTGTATTTATCACAAATATATCTTAACATTTTTTAATAATTAGTTTCCTTCAAAATCCCATCCCTAATATATCCCATATCGCTTTATATGCCGCCTGTCATGTCAAAATGTTTACTTTTGTTGCTCTGCGAAGGAGGAGGAGGCTTCAACTTATTCTTCCTTCACTCTTAGACATTTGTTTGTAATTCGCAAACAAAAACAAAAAACAATTGGCGGCTCATCATTCATCATGTCATGATGAGTTTTTTGGAGGGAAGGAGAGGAGTAATCGGTGGATGGGAAACATATAACAGCATATTTGTCTGAGAAAAGGCAACCCTTTCTTTTCCTGTTCTTCCACGCAGACATTTAAATTGGCTAGGGAAATACGCTCGGAAAAATCTGAAGGCACCCAAAATGCCACGCAAAACGTTGACGTTGATGGTAATTAAAAGCGAGTGGTTTGCCTTCTAAAAGGGTTGAGTGGCGTCGGCGTCGGTAGAGTGTTGGCATGAAATGAAATTACTAACGGAAAATTAGCGGCATGGCACACATGGCGTATGCTTAATTTCCTGCCTTTTCCTTTGTCCCCTGCTTTCTTTTTTTTTTTTTAGTTTTTTTCCTGGCAAAAAGCGTGCAAGAGAGCGCTGGAAATTATGCTCATCATTGTGACACAATTAGCGGGGCGGCAAAAGCGGTAAAAGGCTGCACCGAGCGGCAGCAGCAGCAGCAGCGACTTGCAACTTAACCCTAACGGATGTCGACGCGTCGTGCTGCGGTTTGGTGGCAACTCTGGACACCAGCACTGAGAGAAAAATTATGAAAGAGTCAACTACCGTATTTAAAGTATTTAAAAGTGAAGAACATTTGGCTCATTCCACGTGAAACGTGACAGGCCAATTTGGGTCAAATCTCAGAATCAATCGAAACTTTTTTTTTTCGATAGAGGATTGAAATATAAGGATCGGTTTTTTTTTTTTTTTTTTAACACTTACCGTTTGTTTTTAAAAAATAATTTTCTAATTAAGCTCCGATTTTTCAGTTATGCATCACTTGAGACTCGATTGAGTTATTTCAATATTTGGTATGCAACTTTGTGGGATATGTTCATGTCTTTCAGAAACAAAATTTTAAAAATGTTTAATTTTAAAATTAAGTATTTTTTAACAGAATTTAAATTTTAAAAAATTCTGTACGCCGGAATACACGCGGTTTCCGAATAAAAAAATTATCCTCATATTGCTTCATCAATTCTTCACGAAGTGGTAAAATAAAATTTTTGTATTTGCAAGACCTACTAGTAAAGACAACGATTTTAGTTTGGCAACTTTGCATCGAGCAACAACAGCGCAACGTGTAAGAAAGGGAAAGCACTATTGCTGCTCTCCCGTGTTCGTATTGCTGTTCTCTTCTTACACGTTGCGCTGTTGTTGCTCGATGCAAAGTTGGCAAACTAAAATCGTTGTCTTTACTAGTAGGTCTTGCAAATACAAAAATTTTATTTTACCACTTCGTGAAGAATTGATGAAGCAATATGAGGATAATTTTTATTTGGAAACCGCGTGTATTCCGGCGTACAGAGTTTTTAAAATTTAAATTCTGTTAAAAAATACTTAATTTTAAAATTAAAAAATTTTAAAATTTTTTCTGAATGACATGAACATATCCCACAAAGTTGCATACCAAATATTGAAATAACTCAAACGAGTCTCAAGTGATGCATAACTGAAAATCCGAGCTTAATTAGAAAATTATTTTTTAAAAATAAACGGTAAGTGTTAAAAAAAAAAAAATAAAAACCGATCCTTATATTTCAATCCTCTATCGAAAAAAAAAGTTTCGATTAATTCTGAGATTTGACCCAAATTGGCCTGTCACGTTTCACGTGGAATGAGCCATTTTTAAAAATATTCATTTTAAATAAATCGTGCATTTTTAAATTGAGAATAAAACTTTTTGCACTTAAAAATTTGCATTAAAAATGTACGTTTATTTTCCTGGATAAAATGGGATATTGAATAATAAATTTAGAAAAAATGAAAACTGTTGACATCTAATAAAAGTTTTTTTAAAGCATTTTGGGTGGTCAAGTATTTGAGTATTAAGAATCTCTTTAAAAAACTATTAAGTGGTAATTATCACAGTAATTATAATACAAACATTTATAATAATTGTTACTTTTAATATATTTAAGTGTCCTTCTAAAGATCCCTTAATAATTTTTTCACTGCATTAACAGGAGACAGGAGAGGCCAGCCAGGATATGCTGGGCTAGGCCATTGCGCACACACTGCAATTTTGCCATTTTTCTATGAAAGTCATTTCATGCATGCAGAATTAGTTTATGTGCGCAATTTCAAAAGAAGTGCCACAGCGAGGGAAATGGGAAGTGGAAGTGGTGGAAAATTTCACACTAAACGCTGGATATTATGCAACATTGTTGCTAGAGAATGAGGTGTCCCAAAAAAAAGAGGAAAAAAAGAAACGGGAACAGGAAGTGAAAATGCCTTAAAAATATTTTGAGGTTTTTCCCAGCCAGCAAAAAGAGAAACCGAGAAAAATTACCAACTACTTACTACAAGCTATTTTTAAATTAAAGAATCCAAGCCAATCAATTTCTTTCCCTAAGCCAGATTAATTCCAGCCAACTTCGCCTTGACCAAGCAACCTATCCTACTATCAAATTGATTTGTCGCAAATTCTCCATCAGTGAAGATTTACAACCTCAATTTGTCGTCTATTTACCAGCCATTTTTACCTCCGACTCTTAAGACGTATCGGAAATTGCACAATAGAAGTGAAATGAATTGATTTCTAATGCGATTCTCTCTTAGCCACACACTCACTTCTTTTTTTTTCAGGTTAAAGGAAAAGGTGAAAAGTTTCGAGGAACAGGAATCCAATTTATCTGCAGTTGCAGTTGCTACTCTTTCGCTTCTTTTGTTGGAGGAGCAAATATTAATAAGCAATAAAATGGATTTTCTTCTCCCGGAGGATAAAGATTTATCAATAATATTTTTACAACCGCTCGTAAAAAAAAATTAAGGGCCATGAAGAGAAGAGCTGCTTGAGTAATTGAAAATGCTGGGCTGCTGGCTTTCGTTTTAATTAACTTCAAAAGGTTTGTGCTCGATAAACAAGC